GACGACTAACCACTGTCCAAACACAATGCAATGAGTGTAACCGGGGTTTGTGATGGCAAATACAAGGTCCAACACAGGCTACGGGTGTGAGTCTTTATTGCCTTAGAAGATAATAATGACACCCCTGTGGGTGACACTGGGGTGTTTGTCCTCTCCAGGCTGCCGCCTTGCGTAGTAGCTATGTAGCTATCAGCACACTCCTTAATAATCGAATTATTTATCCCAGATCCGTCCAAGGACCAAATTGTTGACTGACTTCTGAATTGGTGTAGGGTAAAGTGCAAGATGGATGAAAAGTGCACAGTTTGAACAAGCCAATGAAAACAAGGCTTGGGTTAGAACAAAGAGAAGAAACAATGACACAAACATGGACCAACCCAACCACCCTCTACATTATAAGTAAACTAATCCAGAAGCCCATAATAGATATTGAATTAAGAACCTACTTTCCTAACAACTTAAAATAATATTACACACCTAAAGGACCTCAAATAGATAAAACATATGTACAACAAACTGTATGTTAACACTTGTGTCTGCCACATGAGCGACTACCAAATCTCAACAGAAACAATGTAACACAGTTACAATCATTATCAAACAATATTTTTGGGTCAATGAGGTATGAATAAAAAACCGATGTGAAAACTGTATATTAAATTCATCCACGAAAAAATGTGTCATCAACAATACTTTAATCAAAAGCAATACTATTAATCAAAGCAGTGACGAGATTGATAAACATTCCAGACGTAGGAATACATACTGTGACGCGACATGAATCAGATGATTATCAAATGTATGCACACAACTTTGCACACCCTCGCAGTCAGTAGCCAGTCACTAAAGAGAAACATTAAACAAAGGCAAGAGGCGAGAAGCGGCGCAGTTACTGTTACGAATCAGAACAAATAGGTCAAGGAGAAAGAGGTTGTTTCAAATGACATGGTCAGTATTTTTTTCGTAATGTTTCAGCATTGTTGAAAGCAGTGTTGAGCATATAAAACGCAATACGTTTTATAAAGGCTACATGTTCATATGATCAAATAGTCCATTCACATAACTTTCAAGGCTAATTTGCCTTTTACGCCCGACGGAATCTTTTTCAGCAGATAATCGTGATAGGTTATTCTCTGGCGTTGACGTTTTATATACCACCAATATTCAGATAAAAAACCCGCTCGGGACATTGAACTCAACACATGCCGTTTCATTCAATATCGTCTTTAACAGAAAAAAAGGGTTTAATTTGTTCACACTGGTTCGGTTGCAAATTCAAATTAGAGCCATGAAATCTGCAGATGACTCTACATTTCCTGTATGTTTATGTCCTAATTCTATAAGTACAATGGCATGCGTACAACATTACTCCTTTTATTCGAGCGTTCTTGATCTTGGTTGACCTCGTTTCGCAAATTCGAAATTGATAAATTTGAGTGTATATATATATATATAAGAGTTGATTTCTCCAGACATGCACTCATAGTCACTGTAGAAGTGATCCTGGGATTGAAATTGAGGGTCAAACATCTACGAGTGCTCTAATGTTTATGTTTACCAGGGAAAGTGTCTCGCGATGAGATAGCACATTGCATCTGGCCTGAGTATAATCCCCTACTCACTCTCCAGAACATCTCAAATAACTAGTTACAAAATATCTTGATTACAAAATCAAGGTATCTTGACACGTAACATAATATGCCCCAATACCCTTTTTCTAGAATGACATCAAACAAAACTTTGCCTATCTACATAAACTTGTCAAAATCTCACATCCCAACCTGCACATGTGTAATAATTACTACCTATCAATAACAATACAATGTCACTTACCTCATGTTATTACCCATTGTGTTTCAACCAACCTAATTTCAGAAAGGACAATCACATCGTGACACCGACTTTCCATGGTCTGACTCACTTGGTCAGGAAATAACAATGGCTATACCAGAGGCGTGCATGGGGTGCATGTGCTTTTGTTCACTTTACTTTGCAACTAGTGTGTTGTGTGTACCCAACCTCCTTATATAATCGCGGCTCCCCTCTGTGTACTCTAGACTGTTTACGACTTGCCTATTCATCAACTTTTCAGCAGCCCGCTGTATTGTGTTTCTTTTGCAGCCATATAAATGACATATGTTAGAGACCGAACGAATGTTCTCCTTATATAGCCCGTTCTGAATATGTTTGTATGACACTGAAGGCCAAGGCCGTTTACAGAATAAATAAATGGAACCTGGCCTGAGATGGCCTCTATGGTGGGGGTCTTACTTTTAGAAGATTCTCCTCAACCTCTGATGACTGTATAGGACAGCAGAAATCGTAATGCCAAAACGTTGAATACTTGATATTAATTCACGATAACACAAAACATTTTTCAGTGATTAATGTTGTATGGCTGTGCAATTTATTGGTAAACAATATTGTGATTGTATTACATTGTTTGTTATGAAATTCAGGAAAAGTGCATTGCGTTATGTTTTGACAATAATTAGTTGTCAGGAATGGAGTACTATCTAATGTAAGCAGTACTGTGGAAGTTACCTATAATCTATCTCATCTCACATTACATCAAGACCAGCGGTTGTGTGAAAATTACCTTTTCACCCTGGATATCCAGCCTAGGCCTATTTTGGAATCTTGACCACTGTTGCTGCTAGATGAATAATAATCACTGACTTTTTGTTGTCACCACTGCTATTGTATTTGATACTGTCATTGTAATTTTGTACTGTTACTCTATTGTGTACTGCCATTGTATTTGCTGTTCAGTAATTTGTATTGATTTGTAAAATTGGTTACTCTTCCCGTACAATTGTTGCTTATGTACAATTTCTTTGGTGTTTGTTATTTGTTGGTTTCTTATTGTTTCAGTTTCGAAGTCGACACTAACATTAATACCTGCCACATGTCAAGATTCACACACAGAAACTTGCGAACAAATAATGAACACTGCATTTACAGTCTGAAGCAGTAACTTAAAATGAAAGTAATCACATATGCGTTAACATTTGAATTTGGTTGGAAGCTTATGGTGGAGATTGAAGGTCAAGGAAGTGCTTTTACCTTTCTTATACGAGTAGCTTGAGTTGGGCATATGTTGTCCCAACCAATAATTGATGTTATTAAATTGGAGGTGTTTGTAGCTTTGGTATTAAGGCCAGGCTTCACGTTGTACAGTGCATACATGTGTTTTAAATCCGGAAGTCATGACATAAAAAGAAAAAATCGTATTACTTTTTTTAAGGTTGCTACAGGTATATGTAACTTTCTGCTTCTAAGGTGTACTTCATCAGACGCATGGTTTCCTGAATGCAGAAATAATGTTATAGAGCAGGAAGTGCTTATGATTTGTTTGGGCGGTAGCTACAGACATAGGATATCTTTTAATAGGTAATCATGGCATTGTTTATGATGGAACATAGTAGACAAAATCTTTGGATAACAACTTCTGTGTTTTATTGTAATAGCGACGTTTCGATACAGATCCGTATACCGTTGTCAGGCAAGACTGAATAATGAACATGGTACAGAATATATACGGTAGGTGGGGGATTAACAGTAACAAGAATTGCATACACGAGAGAGATTAACATGAGAAGGTAAAATAATAACAACAGGATGATAACGTTGTACAATCATGATAGACAGAGATCACATGATTAGGAAGCCAATTTAACATCCTATTCTAACTGAAATCGATATGCCCTCACCACATCACAGGAGCACATGAGCAGGACTATAACGCTTTGCGTCTTAATACATGACACTTTTCTACTCAGTGTTAGAATCATTGCAATGAAAGTTATAATGACTATGCAATCATTTTGCGTTAGAACCTTACGAATGAATACGTCGTTTGGCGTAGGAGTGAGTGAATGAATTGTACTTTATGTCGCTTGGAACAGTATTTCTGTGATATCCCTGCGCTTCAGGTTAAAATGGGAGGAAAGATCAAAGTGATGCATGTCTTAAACGTTTACCATTGTTATGAAATCCGTGAGTCGTGCTAACAAGTCAAGCATTAGAACCAGGCCAATTGTGTGTTCATAAAATCATGGTAAACCTATGTGACTCTCAGTCAGTACTGCGGCGCGTTACACCCACGTCCTTGGGGATGAAGATACAGTTACCCGACATCACACACTTCGCAGCAATGACTACACAGTTCAAAGCGTCAGGAACGCTATTATAGTGGATATCGAGTTACTAGTCGCCAAAGATGCTTGTTAGAACAGACACGGAGTAGCCGTCAGCGGCCCTGGTAACAGTCATCATTTCACTGAAGAATATTTTGTTTGTAATACTGACACAGTTACTAGCTAGTGGCATACCCAGCTACCTACTGCCAGAACCAATCACAATATTTAGGAAACATTTGTTTGGGAGTGAGTGAGTATGGTTTATCGCCGCTTTTGCAATATTCAAGCAATATCACGGCGTGGGACACCAGATATCAGTTTCACACTATGTACCCATGTGAGCAATCGAACCCGGGTCTTTAGAATAACGAGCGAACGCCTTAACCACTAGGCTTCCCCACCGCCCTACTTGTTCAGGAACAGAAGCCAACGGAGCAATGGACTGAGAGGTACATAGCGTCAGGGACCAGGGTTTGCCACAACTGTTTGAACAAGTTGAAATCAGAAGCACTTGCAACAAAGAATACACAATGATTCGCTTCCTGGACACCGGTTGTTCAAAATGTGTGCCTGTTGCTTAACTACTGGTTAGCCTTGTTAGCTCTTGCAACTGTGGCTACTGTTGTGGTGGAGAGCACTGTTCATTCACCCATTATATATAGAGGTTAATGTCTACCAGAGTTCAGATAAAGTAGAACACTATGCAGTTCTGATTGTTTGGACAGCTTAATCCTCTTGTGTACGTATGTTTTTGTATAACACAATTTCAGTGTCATGTTCAAAAGCTAACAGAACCGGCCGTGTGCTACCGATCACGTGGGGCGTACGATGAACGGTATATTTGAACTGCTCGCCAAAGTAACACAGACACAAACAAAACTTCACTCGCACAGCCACAGATCTGAGCACGCTATCACCCGACCGAGGTGTGCGCTACTTAAGTGTTCACTACTGACGGGCACCTGTTCTGCGATTCCTTTACAGAGTAAAGAGGCATATACCTGTGCTGATGCATCACGGCTTCACTATTTAAACTGGAAGTAAAGGTCTTCATTGAAAGGTCTTCACAATGAAATTTGACGATGTTTTTGAGTATCTTGGGGATTTTGGAACTTACCAGAAACGGATGTACTTTCTGCTTTGCTTGCCTGGTGTCTTCACTGCACTTCAGATAATGGGAGCTGTATTTACTCTCAACATACCAGAACACAGGTATCTACTTAGTTTATGTACGTGACAGTTGGCCAGCGTATGATGACATATGTATGTGTTTTTTTAAATTGTGTTTACCCATCGCAGTATTATTTTAAAAATTGCCATTCTGGTTTTCATGTTACATCTTATAGAAGGGATCGCATTTCATCATCCTATTGACTGTGTAGTATTTATACCACATATACCATGATATATTTAGTGCAAACATTATTTTGGAAAGTATAAAATGAATTAGTGAAGTGGTTTGCAAACTTAGCATGCGCTTATACTACAAGAGCAAGACGATATTCTTTAATTGGTTGTATTTTCACGAAGGGGGTGTCTTTCCCTTTTATTATAATACTGTTTTGTACATTAATTGAGCTGGAAATTCGAATTTAACATCTTCCTTGCTTATATACAATCCTTATTAAACGTATACAGCAGTTTGAAGCGTTAGGGAAGTTTGAAGTATCATTTTCATCTTGAACCCCAATAATCATCATGACGTCATTAAGATACCAGGACAATAAATTATTTGCAATGAACACAGTGAACACAATGAGTAGATCCATATTGTTATTAATATTTAGTTGTCTATAATTTAAATTGATAACAATTACTTCTGTGTTTGAGCATATTAAACGTATACTTTTGTATGCAAACTCACATCCTTGTCACATAGAAAAGAACAGAGAGGCAATTACAATGACGACACCCGAAAATAATGCGCATATCTCACCCTCCCTTAGCAAAGGTCGTGTGAGTAGGTCAAGTCTCTTTTAGCGTTGGTGTAAAGAATAGGGTGGTTTTAGTGTATGATTGAAGGCCTTCGTGTATCGTTGCAGCAATCGGTCACAGGTCCGCCTGTTCCAGAATAATTTATTAACAGATCGTCGTAATATACCTAATATATATTGCTGACTGTGTTGTCCAACTAAAACACACACCAGCTTTCAAATAATTCGTGGTCGAGAACATTTCGAAAGTCTTGCAAGATCTGAGCCATGCAAATTGGCATTTGTATCCACGGGTAATCATTCAGACCTAATAAACAGAAGACAATACACAGTAACTGCGACTTACACGCAACACATCCCATAGTAGTGTGGGGAACACGGGCCAACTGCAGAGGGTGCCAACTAACCTCCCTCCTCATCTAAGTTTTTGCTCCGAGTCTCATTTGCTACCCCTAAATCCCGAATACTACTTAAGACAAATCTCAAAAGCACATGTCAGAATTCACTCAGAATATCCATACTCAGCAACAATGGTTTTCTTGAGATCGCAAAGAGGGTTATTCATTTGGCAGCTTCAAAATGGCTTCTCTGCTCTGGTGTTCTTTGTGAGTCTTTAAAATTCAGGCGAAAGGTTGTCTCTAAGAACATGATAAAAGTCCATGGAATCAACCATGGGTTGATTGAGGAGTTCTGAAACTGACATGGGAGGACTATTGTGTGACAGAGGACTCTTTTGTTGTCGACATTACATCATCTAAAAGTGGTATATCCACACAAAAAAACCTAGACAATAGAGCAAATGTTTTCGCTGTTACACGTCCATAAAATAAGCTGGTATATATGTGACCTAACGAAAGAGGACAAACTTGATGAACGTGCAGTGGTCAAATACTTGCAGATTGTTTTTTGGACTGAAGCTGCGGCGCTTCAGGAACTTATGTCAATTATGACAACTGTACACCGACCCCTATGCATTTTCGAGTATGCAAATAATTATCATTAGCAACGTCGTGTGACGCCGGCGCGTGTTTTGGGACAATGTTGCGAGGGTTACTTGCACCGACCACACCCAGGACGACATATATTCGGCTGTATTCATACTGATACATCAAGAAAGGGTCAGTGTGTCAAGCAGTGTACTCAAGCTCACAGTTTAAATACAGTACTGACAGCGAAGTTTGTTTCATTAAAACACAACCATCTATTGTGACATCCCAGCGCCAGATCTCGGGTAGACTTAATTACAACGAAAACGTTGTACACAGAAGGAAGATGTACTTTCTATTCAGTTTACGTAGATGTAAGAGGCGGTTACTCGGATAGTTATACACATATGACATTAACGACAATACATGTTTTTCTGTATTCATGTCAAACAGTGAGAGTCGCGATCTGTATGTTCAATGACAATATTTTAACAGCAGTTCGTGAGTCTCAAGGAGGCTTTGATACGAATGGGTGTGCATAGTTTCTTATTCTCATGCTGTTCTAATTTGTGTATCAGTGTATTCGTGAATGGTTATATTCTGTGATGAGGTTGGACATTTCCATCAACGTGAACGGGTCAATACAGAAATACCCTTTTTACAAGAAGTATTATTCGCCCTCACGTGATCGGTGTCGACATGAACACTCGTTTACAGTTTGCCTGAAAACGTATAACACAACTGCTTTACATATATTTCGTTACAATATTTTGGGCACCCTCGTACTAGGTCAGTAAAACTCATGAAACATGGTCTAAAACTCATGACATTTTGGCTTGACTGAAATCATTTTGCAGTCAGTGAAGATTAACTATGAATAATTAAATCAAACATTGTCATACTTCATGGTTTTTGTAATACAAAATAAAGGTAACTTTGAAGGTATTTCACTCATGCTATGAAGTTAAATTCAGAATGTATTGGTCTGAAACCAGTAATGTTCGTGAATGAGTTAAGAAAAGATTAAAGGTCAATGTCACTACTGGCTTGATGCCAGTAGTGACATTGACCTTCAACCCTTGACACCATTCTCCCCAGAGATGGACACAATTTACGAACGTGATCACAAGAGTAACAAATGATTTGATAAGTAATTGAAAACGTGGCATTGGGGTCCTTGTGTTAATATTTCCCCCCTTCATCATTTATTGATATTTAAATTTAATTTCCTCGCATTGTTGTAGATGTGCAATACCCGGGGTCAGCAACGACACATTTAAGGTACAAGGACTTGACCATGAGATCCTCCTTAACGCCACCATACCCTGGAAGACGGAGAAAGGCGTCAGCGTCAGGGACTCCTGTCTCATCTACAAGGACGATGTTCCGGCGGGTCAGAACAGAACAACCCAGGAATGCAGCGCCTGGGTGTACGACAACTCCGTCTTCAAGAACACCGTTGTTACAGAGGTAGGATAGCCTATGCTCGGCAAAACAGACTTCATCGGAATTGGACCCCCCACTGCTATTGATGTGTCTCATATCTACTGTGTAAAGGTTGCTGATGTTAGAGCATATCCTACATGTACCTCCACAGATCCTTCCACATGGTGTGTGATGTAGGAAAGCAACAGATGGAGGAAGGCATTCCCCCCAAAAAGGAACCGTGAAATATAAAGTTCCTGAGAAAAAGTTTCTTGATGAACGAAATCATGTTGCCATGTCTCTTTACTTACAAAATCAAGGTAATGAATGCAATGCTGTTGTATTTTCAGCTGAACATGGTGTGCAACGATAAGGGCCTGAGGTCTCTTGCCAACAGCATTCTAATGGCGGGACTTCTCTGTGGATCGCTTGTTCAGGGCATCGTCTCAGACCTGTAAGTAAAACCTTCAAATACAAAAGGAATATCGACGGGGTACATTTGTTCCTTTTGACTTAACAAAACTGATATAGAAATACCTTATTTTAATAATTAAACCTATGTTTCATGAAAATTGTCGATTTATGAAATAAATATCTGACTACACACTTTTCTTGCAAGGGTTGGGCGGAAACCAACTCTGATGTTATCCATCCTGCTACACGTTGGCACAGGAGTTGGAACAGCGTTTGCGCCGAACTTCGTGGCTTTCGTCATTCTCAGATTCTTTAATGGTGCTTCTGATATCGGCCTCTTCATATCATGTTTTGTCATCGGTAAGTAAACTCAATTGTAGACATAAAAATCAGTTGACAAAGTGTGAATGCAAATAGTTGTGTCAGGTCTTTGAAAGGCATTTAGAAGTGATTCACATAATGAAGAGAATATATGGATGTCAACTTCTTTATTATGAGGAACACGACGTTTCGGAGTATATGCTTACTTCTTCGTCAGGTGAATGATGAAGGACTAAGCATATACTCCGAAACGTTGTGTTCCACAAAGGAAAGAAGTTGACATCCATATATTCTCTTCCTCAAATAGTTGTGATTTTTTTTCAATTATTCAAATTGTGAGGATACGAACTAATGTAAGTTACCTTGCAGATAACGTACAACAAGAACACTGACAGGTTGATGCACATAATGCTAACTTCAAAAAGTCCTTCTCAGGGTGGACAATAACAGTGGGCAGTATGGTGGAATATATTGGAATCTCATAGTAAGGACCGGGTATTTAAATTTCAAATATTATTTTGGTGTGTTGTTTCCGTTTAACGAAAGAAAATTCAAAATACTTATCTTCATGCTCAATCGTCTGTCAAGCAATGTTTTTCTTGATGCTTTCTAATAGCCAGCAAAAGGAAACCCAGTTTACTCTTGAAACATTTGCTAGTTTTACGTATGAACATGGTATAATTGTAACTGGGACTGTGTAGGTGTTTAGGAAGACCAGACACAGGCTAAGGTGTTAGACTTTATTACTTTGTCTATTGACAGATGGACACCCTGAAACATACGTATAGGGAATGAATACGAGTTCAGGATAAACATATACACATGTATAAATAAAAAATAAAATAAAATAATATCACAAACCATTTCTATTACAAGAAACAGAACTCAGTTTCATAACATCAGAGTTTATTAAAGTATGCATTTTAATAATTCATCTGTCTGATCAAATCTATGTATTTTTCAGTGATGGAGCTCGTTGGTCCCTCCAAACGAACCTTAGCTGGTATGGTCATCCAGTTTTTCTGGAGCCTGGGTGTATTCATTGTGGGCGGTCTGGCCTACTTCATCCGTGATTGGCATCATCTCCAACTCGTCATCTCCGTCCCAGCTGTGCTAATGCTTGGCTTGTACTGGTAGGTGCACCATTTTAATTGCATCATATCTACATCTCTTTGTCTAAGTCTGTGCTGGTGTAAGCAGCAGTTGGTGAATGGCATTCTGCTTACAATCGAGGGCCCGTGGTGATTCCGTGGTGATTCCAGGATATAATTGGTCAAGTACATCAATACATCAGGCCCAGTCTCAGGGCCCGACGAAAATGGATATGTTTCAATTGTCACACCGTGTTTTTTTCTGTTTGTGAGCCAACGAACCACAATGCATAGCAAATGTTTCTGTTTTCCTGGTAAAGAGTCGACTGTTTCGGTACTGTTTCATTAAATCTGAACGTGCTGATATTGGCGTCGACTAACATTTAGTCTCTGAAATCTTATATTACACAATATCCTTCCCTATGCTGTTGAATAGAGCTAGCTTGAGCTGGCTAGACTTGCTTTTGTTTCCATTTCTAGATTATTTTTTTCCATAAAATAAATATATTCCAAGGTCATGGTACAGGACTAATATTGGCGGTTGGCAGAGGTGAGTGTCCACTGGTGTGCATAATTATTCAATACGCAGTAATTTTCATTTAAGTGAACAAGTTTAAGATGGTTTTCATGCTGCATGTATCATGCATGCCGTTTTGTGATAAATCATGCATGCATATATATACATATATATATATATATATATATATATATATATATATATATATATATATATATATATATTTAAGAATTGACCTTCACTTTGTGTGAGTTCATTGGAGTATGAACCTTCATAGAGTGAGGGCCAAACTGTATGAACGTCGGAGCTTGCGACGACGTTCATACAATGTTTGGCCCTCACTCTATGAAGGTTCATACTCCAATGAACTCACACAAAGTGAAAGTCAATTCTTATAATTTTTTTATCACAATTTCTTTCCTCAAAGGATGTATAGGCCAAGATCTAAACACAATTTTATTATTTCGTACGTGTGACTTCATGTTTACACTGATAGCCAAACAACAACCAGCTATATCGCGGAATAAAATAGGTCCCCAAAAAGAGAGGTGACATGAGCGTAAGGATGCAGAACTTGCTCTTCAGAAACATCTTACGCAACACATGTGTTCATATAATATCACCATTAGATGAGAAAGGTCTGTAATGAACTACCTCAGTAAGTCAGTCACAATGACAGCGCGTCGTAATACATTTACATCAAGGACAAGACGTCAAAATGGCCGATACGATAAACGTGACGGGAGGATTTCCGAAGTTGTTAATGAACCTTTTGCGGTTACATGTGTTAGTCATCATCGATAAATTGACCGATTATTGAAAGGTGATTAAAGATGCGTCAAACATACACCAAGGTAAATTCGTAGATTGCTGGGGACAATCACTGTCAGCCTAGACACAGATCGAGTCGATACTGACGATAGTTTGGATGTGCATTTTTTCGTTTGTTCATTAGGATGGGCCGTAGCGAGGAAATTCGTGAACAATCATGCAGTCAGGCTCTCTTACGTTTCTCAATGTATACTGAAATGCTGAGACCAAGATTAAAGGTTCTAAATGATCAGAAATAATGTTTATGAATGTTTTCGTGCTAGGGAATTCCCAGGGGTTTCCCCAGGAATGTGGAAGTAGTCCGCCCGTGTTTACGTCATTTCAAGAACACGGTCTTCTGAAAAACGTATGAACGTCAAATTGTGTCGTTCATACACTTATGAACGTCAATTTCGCGGTCATGTGACCGACCTCTCGTCCAATGGAAAAGCCGTATATCGTGTAAACGTCAAATTAAAAAATTATATATATATATATATATATATATATATATATATATATATATATATATATATATATATATACCCAAAGTACCCAACAGTTTTTCCAGGTATTCATAAAATTGCAAGTGCTGAATTTGTATAAAAAGGCGATGAACCGTTGCTAAGACATCACATGTAATACAAAAATACCAACGATATGCCACGGTTAACTGCGGAACAAAACAGAGAGAGCCATAGGTATGGAGCAGATGGGAGCCAACCACACCAGATTGCAAGAAACCTAAACTGTACACGGTCGTCAGACTGTTTCAACGCTTCAGACAGACTGGCAGGAAACAAGACAGGTCAAGATCGGGCAGACCACGAGTGACAAGGCAACGGGAAGATCGGCACTTGCACACGTACCATCTGCGCAACAAGTTCGTCATGGCGACGGAAACGGCAGCAACGACGTTAGGACACCGTATCTGTCGACGCACGGTGCTACGACGTCTACGTGACGCAGGTATTAGAGCTCGCCGTCCCTTCCGTGAAATGGCATTGACCCGGGAACATTGACCTCGTAAACTGCAATGAGCCAGAACAGTACGACGTTGGCATGACCGTGATTGGCAGAGACTGCTTTTCTCTGACAAAAGCAGGTTTCAGATGTTTCACAATGCGAGTATACCGTCATGTACACGTCACCTGTTTTGAGTTTCGTTACCCTTTTATCGAATACACCATCATTGAATAACATTCTCTTGTTTGGTTTAATTTTATTGACAATCAATCATGGGTTTATACTTTCTTTTGCCCTCTAGTTTATATACAGTTAAAAAATTACTGCTTTTAGGTTAGTTCCCGAGTCGCCAAGATGGCTGCTGTCACGTGGTCGCGAGGAGGAAGCAGAAGCAATCCTGAGGAAGGCGGCAGAAGTGAACGGCGTGACGCTTCCACCGAAGCTGTTTGACAAGGACACTCTGGATGACGGTCCCCAGGCCAAGATCACAGAGATGTTCACATCCCCAGTCCTCCTCGTCAGGACACTCATCATCTTCTTTAACTGGTCAGTAGAACTGTCATAGTCAACATCACTGACAGGCATATATCTACATTGATATGTACATTTTAGTTTGGTGGGTACTGCATTAAACTGGCAACATATAAACAGACGAACTCGTGATGAACGACCTAGTTTTGTTTGCGACATAATATGCCTTCAGTCATTGCTTAGATACCAATATGTCTCTCTGAAGGGAGGGGCGAAACAGTGTGCAGGCACCCGCAACACATTTTTCAGTAAAACAGCCTGAATGTACAGTAAACGATTTTTTAAATTTCAGAGTTTGTGTACATTCCTAATAGTGGATACTTAATCCAATACTCCAACACTCAGATATTATGAATATGTATATTAGTTATTTTGGTGTGTTTCTGATGTTGTACACTTTCCAACTTCTGCACCAGGGTTGTTGTCGTCATGGTTTTCTACGGTCTTGGTCTTAACGTTGGAAATCTCGGCGGCGACATCTACGTCAACTTTACCATCGCAAGCATCGTGGAGGCAGCAGCCTACGTCATGTGTCTGTTTCTGTTGGACCGACTGGGCCGGAAGTTCCTACACTGTGGCAGCATGTTGACAGGAGGGATTGCTTGTATTGCCACCATCTTCCCTGTTTTGTATGGAGGCCCAGGTGAGTTTGAAAGAACCCAGGTTTGTTCTGAAATGTTGTGATGGGTCGTGATTATTATCGTGTCAATATTGATAACTTGATTGGTTGTATATATCATAGGCGGATCCAGATGGGGAGGGGTTGGGGCGGCGTCCAGGAGGTCCAGGGGGTCCAGGGAGTCAGGAACCCCTACCTTTTAAAAATGCTGGATCCGCCCTTGTGTATAATGGAAAACATTATAGACAAGGGACACGGGTGGCAAGTCGTCTATGGCGCGGCAATTCGCTGTGCAAATTTGTGCCCCATGGGCACGGCAGCAACATCTGATCGTTGCTTCGATTCCCAGTTCGCCCCGGCTATGTTTCCAGGTTTGTCAGCAACATGACCGTGCTCGTGGGTTTCATCAAAGTGGTAATCGTCTACATTAAGCTGACACGCCGTGGTGTATCTGGAATACTTTTCAAAGCGTGTTAAAGCCAACTCACTCACTCATTACAGACAAGTTTTCACAATTGCAAATTCATATGTCATGGTACATCAGTATATTTTCTTTACAGACCTGGAATGGGTAACAATTACTCTGTCAATGATTGGTAAATTTGGAGCGTCTGCTGCTTTCGCAGTTATTTACATATTTGCTGCGGAACTATTCCCTACTGTAATGAGAAACTCTGGTATGGGTGGCAGCTCCCTCTCTGGACGTATTGGAGGAATTGTGTCCCCTTACATTGCTGATCTGGTGAGTCGTGTAGTACGATTGTAATGTGTCATACGTTTGATGGAAATGTCATCACGCTGGTCAAATAAACTGACCGCCGTGATATTGCCGTAATAGTGCTAAGAGCGGCGTAAAACCATACTCACTCACTCACTCACTCACTCACATGAATAACAATGAAATGGTTGTTAGATATATATTTCAATTTGTCAACTTTAACCAATAAAATGATAAACATGTTACACATGGTATCAAAATAAGTTGAAAATACATTCAAAGACATTGTTTGTGTTTATGGAATATGGAATGGATTTGTCGCTTTTATTTACAGGGCACTCTTGTTGGTGGTGACTTCGGTAACGCACTCCCCCTTCTGGTGTTTGGTGCTGTGACAGTGACGGCGGGGATACTCTCACTGTGGCTACCCGAAACACGGAATCGAAAACTGCCGGAAACTATCGAGGATGCCAAAGTTTTCGGAAAGTAAGTTCCCGAAGCATCTTAGAGATATATTTTGCTCGAATGGATGTTGAATCATCCTATTTACGATAGAAAGATGGTATGACACATCGTTGTATACTTATCATGATATGACGTTCAGGACGTTCCATTGCTTATTTAAATGCTCATGATATAGTCGAAATTGTACAAAGGGCTCCTCTGTTAGCACATATTTGTTTAACAGGTCTATTTCACATATAAGCAGTATATAATAACACAGTGAAGCTGCTTTAAATGTGAAATGTAAAAAAGTATAAATATATATGTATAAAGTATTTCCCTGCTAAATAAACACATATATACTCGGTAACTGTTTTACTTTTGATTTTGACCTCAGAGTTGTACCGCTTGATGATAGATAATTGAGATCAGTCAATGTCATTAAACATTACAAACTATGAAACTATTAATATCGGTTACAATATTTCAGAAGCAGTAACAAATCCTATGAACTTGATCACAACGTCGAAAAGTCTCCCTCCAAAATGGAGTATGACAACCCAGCCTTCAACAAGATCTGAAGATAACAGATTGCAATAAGACAAACGGTTACTTATGTCTTCTTTTCAATTATTTATGATGTTACTATGGACGTAAACGTGAAGATCTAATTCCATTTGCATAAATATTTTAGTTGACAATGCTTGTACGGCACTGCAGTCATGCAATTCTTTTGGATGGCTGACGAGTGTAAAGATATGCTGTCATACTCGTCACTTTCGCGGTGGTAGTAGGGTAACCAGACTGAAGCACTTTCGTTACCATGCATTGTTTTGAATTATGTTTTCAAACAGGGTCAATTGTTAGGTGACAAGCAAGTGACGTCAAATCGAACATTATGACGTCATGATGTACGTACTGGCAGACGGACAACTTTGATGTGGCCAATCAGATTGCAAGAACCCCTGACAACGAGTATTGTCAATGATTTGTTCATGTCTCAATACAGGTCAATGTGTGAGGGTATACACGAACCGTCAGGTACAAGCCAAAGTAAAAGACTAGTTTACTCGTAAAATCCCGAACAATCCGCTAATGACAAATGTACGAATACGAATTTGACCAGTTAGACCAGTCAGCCAAACTGAAGTCTATGGATTTGTACATCAATAACAATAGTTAGATTAATTGACAAGTATTTTGTCTGATTGTTTAACTGCATTTTGGCCAAATGCCGTGAGCTTGTGCAAACCAAAACACAGGAAAACAATATCTATGTATCCTTACACTTACGTAGCATGATTTATGTAATTACTGTTTTAAATTCCGCCAGTGCCACCACATTATCAGTACAAGTGAATTGCAGATGTGAAGATATACTCTCAAAACGGAGGAGATATTACATAAATACAATAAGGTATCGAGTGATGGTGATGTATGGATACAGCAAAGTAAGGACAAGGTGTAACACGACAACCAACAGAACATGTTTGGGGGTGCAAACAAACAGGGAAGACGACAGGGTTGTTTTGTTAAAACGATGAATGAGTGAATTTGGTTTAACGTAACTTCAAACAGTATTCCAGTTATATCTTGGCGTGTAATCTTAATGTCGGAGGAAAGTCAGACAATTCCAAGATGTTTACCACTTTGGTGATACCCACGAGCACGGGTATGGTGCTGACAAACCTAGAAACCTAATCGGGGCGAACCGGAATTCGAACCCACAATCATAGGTATCTGGAGTGACCAAGGGGCGCAACTCTGCAAGATGAATTGCTGCACCTTAGACGATGAACCACCTGTTCCCCAGTAAAAAAATTAACGTTTGAGATGACTTGATTAATAATGGATCATGCCCCCGTGAAGGGTCAAACATTTGTTTATACAGCGTGGCATGGTTTCAATCTCAGAATAATACTTTGAGTGAGTCTTGTCCTCACCTCATGCAGCACATCGACCAATTCGGCTCACGGAGCGGGATGACTTTGACGGCGTACACGTCTCTCGATCATTTCCCAAAAGTGTTCAATGGATGGTCATTGCATTTTGGTGATGTTTTTGATGTCGTCAGTTTGTACACGGTTGACCAGCATGGCGCTAAAAAGGCTAAACTATTGGCACCAGTACGTTGTCTCGGTAGCACTGTCCAGTGACCCTTCCATGGACAATATGCAGTGGCGTTTTGGCAGTCAGAGTCATTACCATCCATATCATTACAGACCAAATATGTCATTTAGCTTTACGTTCGCATGACGCTGGTTAGGACGCCTCCAGACACGTCCACGCATATCACGAAAGTTCAGAGAGGATCTTGATTCACCAGAAAACATTACTCTCTGAACACCCGGCGTCTGGCTTGAATGTGTCGATGTGTAAACGGTGATTGATCGATCCTGGACTTGTGTTGTTGACCTTGGGCGCCCTGTGCGGCCCCATCATTAACAGTTTGTGTCTGCAGAAACCTGTTCCATCGTCGCAAGTCACAGGCTGAGACACACAGAACATACACGTACTGGCTACCTCTCGTTCTACCAGTCAGTTTGAAGAATGAGTTCATCACGTTGTAAAAGACGCATTCCCAATCTGATCACAAATACTGCATTGAATTTAAGCAAGAGTAGAGGACTTACGTGTTACTGCGGATAATTAAAATCAGAAATAGTAATGGCAGGGAGCGATTTGACGACCTTTCACTGAAGTGACCAAATAAAGAATGACCCCCTACCAACGTGCACGCAGGAATTGCATGTTCCACGCGCAATGTTTCGGTTGTGTTAGGGCGTTAGGTTTTGGTTCCGAAACTCTCCCATCTCTAGCAGTCGTTTTCAAGCATATTTTATTATCTCCTCCCTTTTTTTAAACATTTTCATTCTTACAACCTGGGCCGTTATACATATATACTTATATTCAGAGCGAATTATTGGAGAGGAATCGGGAGCGGCGTCAGGCAACAAACAAACGAACACTTACTTTTTAAAATAAAAAATATGTGTGCTACCGGTATGGCCGGACATGCTTTCCCTTCTCGCTAACACCTGATGTCACCACTGCTTTTCAGATTATAGTCATCACGGTTTTGCCTTTTCCGCCCCGTGGATTCCGTTTGGGCAGATTATACAGACTGGTTGTTCTCAGGCTTTGACATTTTGAATTTACTATGTGTGACGAATGTGTGACAGTGTATCCCGGAAACGTTTGTACTTGTTCTTGCTATCAGCTCGTGATCTGACCCAGGCACGAGTAGACACTGTCTGCTCTGATAAAGCTGTAATATTGGATTGATATCAAGCATAAAAAACTTCTATTCAAGCATTTGATCTTTTGTTTGTTATGTTTCGTAACAAATCTCCGGATATAAATTCTTATTTCAAGTCGTGTTTATTAGGCTCAAGATTAAATGTATTTTGCTTCATGTTTGTTTAAATATGGAACTGGCAGCATGATACATTAAATACCAAATCAGTAAGCTATGAGAATGGCTGTACCTAGTGCCTGCGAAGGGACTTCGGTTTCTGTCAAGATGTACCACTTCGGACATTGTGAAATGCACGTACTATAACCTAACTGTTAATTACGAAATGAACGACGAGTGGGAGTTGTTTATCGTACCATAAACGCTGCAGTATTTTATTGTACGATAAACAACGACCTCGAGTCGTTTATTTATTATATGACATATCAACATTATGTACAGCCTCTTTAAGGATATTGATAAAATGCGTAAGCTTTAAAAATGGTTCCCTTAATTTTAAAAAAATGATGATTCCCTGAATAGAATCCGACCTCGGCAATGTCGGACATGTCCATTTTATGAACAGGTGAACTAAGTGTGGCATTTCCCGCATATTCACACAATCCCCACGTCGATCATCTGAACCTTTTCTCCGAAAACAGTTTGTCATATCTTTCCCACTTATGAATGCGATCATTTGGCCACTGCGTTTATTTGCCTACCCCAGATACATCTATGGGGAATAACTTACTGGACTCTTCCATCTAAAAAAACAACGTCGTCCAACATTTGACGTCATCAAGTTTCACGCACATATTTGAATCTCCAGAAATGACGTTATGATAGAACAATGTTTTATCGTGAAATAAACCACGCTTCGTTCTTCATTGCTCTTTGCGATTTATAGCGTAGTTATCTTACATCGCGTCATGAACGTGAGTCGGACTATGGCGCATTGAGTCTTAATACTTGGCACATTTCTACTCAGCGTCAGAATCATTTTACTGAAAGAAACAATTCCTCAGAACGCTCGTTATAAATACTGTACAATCACTTTGCGTCAGAACTAAATACGCAGTCGTGGTACAAAGTAGTGAGTGAGTTGTATTTTATGCCGCTAAAACAGTATTTTGGTGATATCACTGCACGTCAGGTTAAATTGAGAGGAAAGACCGAAGTGAAGTATATCTTATTTCTTGGACCATTTTGGTGAAATCCGTGAGTACTTGAGTCGTGCTAAGAAGTCAAGCATCATAAGCAAAATGTGGGATAATAAAATCATGCTGAACCAAAGTGACGCAACTCTCACTCAGTACCACGTTAGCTTGAGGATGAATTTACATTTACCTGACATTAAAATAAACCTCGCAGCAATGCCTACACAGTTACGAAGCGTCAGAAGCTATACTTATAATGGATAGCGATGTCAGATGTTTTTTTGTTGTTGCAATAGTGACACAGTTACTTTGTGTTATCATACCAAGTAAATTAATGTCAGAAGCCCTCACAACAATACGAGGCGACTTCATTGGGAAAAGAAGCCAACGAAGCAAAGGTACCTGAGTTTGCAACACATTGGAATAAAGCGACAAAACCCTTTCCATATCCAATAGAAATCTCTGCATAAAGCAGAGTCGATTGTACAATTCCGACCATATCATGAGCATAGTTATGATACCAGGTGTTCGCGAAAAGGTAAGCGTATCGTGCCCCAAAGGTGGCACCGTCACAAACACATGCAAGGCCAATTGTTCATCTAAAAAAAAAACCATGGGAACATGTGGTATTTTTTTTTGGGAGAATTGCATAATTATTTTCACTGATGCGTCAAATTTGGAAATATGCTCCACATGTCTACCATGAAACCTATTGAAAGCTTTACTGAGGCCTTGAATGTTGTAACCTTGATCAAACAACTTCTGAGCAAGAGTCGTATGACACTCTTTGACATCTTGGTAGAAAGAGCATGCTCGATTGTATCTCAAAAGTTGCGAAATGTAAACACCAAAGGCTGGAGCTGTTGGAATAGTGCTCGACATGAAGGGAAAGTTGACTATTGGAAAGTTGAAGTCATACAGTCTTGTCATACAGTCTTGTGGAGAGTGGGAATAACACGTACACAGTCAACCGTGAGATACCATGCTGTAGTTTAACATGAATACCCCACTCAGACATGGTACACTGACTCCGAGCCGACCAGTCCTTGTTTTAGTCCCTTAACGCAGAGCGCCAGACAGTGTAACAACAAGTACCATCATTTCATATTCTTTTTGGATTGAACCCCATTTGTATCCGTTTCCTTGGGTTCATAAAATGTGCGTTGGATGAACATGTAAACAATCTAGAACGGTGATGAAAGAGTATTCAATCTTACACGTGACTTCAGCTTTCTGCATACTGCACCTGGTCTTCCTCTCACCAACCGAATTGGTTTAATACCGCAACCACGCTATTGTGCTGCTGGGGTTTTCAATTCTTTCTGGTATTTCTTGCCAATTGTCAACTTTCCCTGTGTGGCGAGCAATATTTGCAGCTCAAACCTTGGGTGTCAACATTTCATGCTCCTTACACCAAGATTTCAAAGAGCGCCATACGATGTTTGATCAAGGTTACAACATTCAAGGCATCAGTAAATCTTTCAAAACGTTTTATGGTAGACATATGAGGCCAATTCCAAATTTGACGCATCAGTGACAATAATGATGTCCTATGCAATTCCCTATTGTGATTTGTACCATATGTTTTCGGGTGAACAATTGACTTGCCTTTGCGTGTGTGTGAAGATACACTCACCTTTCCTCTAACATCTGGTATCATCTGTATTTGATAGTGATTCATAAACACGTGTTCATGATATAGTCGGAATCGTACCATCGAATCGAGATTTCTTATGAATATGGAAAGGGTTCGCTTTTATTTGCATTTAGTTGAGTAAGCATTTTGGTTGAAAATGTACTAACAGCCAACCAAAACTTCGGAGGCATGTTTCATTCAGAGTGACAAAAACTACCCACAAGATCGTATAACAAAAGGGATTAGTTCAACTTTCCAATAATCAACTTTCCTTCATACCGAGCAGTATTGAGGTACAATATCTCTAAGTACAATGGAGCATGCTCGTTCTTAGAGGATTACAAAGAGCGCCATACGACTCCTGCTCAAAAGTTGCTTGATCATGCAAGGCCTTAGTATAGCTTTATTACTTGCCCGTGAAGAGATCACCCGTTGAATAAACATACAGCTGTACTCGTATTACACACTGTGTAATACCAAAACGCGTGCTTATGTACTCTCGGAACACGTTTCTAGAACAAATATTGAAAGCTCTCAACATCCCTTGGCTTATTCAACGACATTGCGTGTGGATATGATAGATCACTGAGGGGAGCTTATGCACACTCGATGACCCCAGCAACCTTGTTGCTAGGCTGACGTCACATGGCATTGTTTCGCCGAAGGATCTTGCAACAAAATTCCACAAATTACGTCATCGGGTATTGTGACGTGTTGTAAACTTTGAGGGGCAAGTCCCCGTTCCACAAGGCGATCGTACTGTAGCGCAACAACAGTCGTTGGTCTAAATTAAAGTATGTGAGTTGTGATAACCTTAACGCTACGATAATTTTGTGGAACGGACGCCTGAATTCTAAAGGTGGGCCGTTGTATGGTATTAAATCCATACGTTTCAACTTTTGACGTGTTTGAAGTATTATTGTGTTAAACTCAACTAGATTATGCCGTTGATCGTGTAGGTGTCAGCCTATTCACACTAAACAATATAATTCTAAAAACGTTATAAATGGCAAGTAATAAATAAAATACTAAACTCGCTCCCGTGTAAAACCAATTTTATTTTTATTTTATATTACGTATAAAACGTAAAAACGTTTCATGGTAGACATGTGGAGGCCATTTCCATATTTCTAAATCCCTATTTTGACATTACCAAATAGTGACGTGCAAACAAATCAGTTAACGCGATATCGTGCCACTGGGTTGTCTCGTCCATCAATGGATGATTGTCTGGTCAAGGCCGCAGTCGTATTGTCATATTAACATTTCATGATCCCCTACGTATTTGGAGAGTATATATACATTTTCATTCGTAAACCTGTACCGGGGCAAGAGCCACTTGAGGAATAGTGAAGAGGAACCGGGTGTGGCGTTAGGCAATCAACATACCCTCACTTTCTTTATGCAAATTGCGCGAGTGGCGGGTGCTACCTGTAGAGCAGGGCATTCTTACCCTTTTCGCGAACACCTGGTGTCATCACTGATTTCAGTGATCCATTCACATAATTGCCCAGTGGAATATGATTCAACGGATAATCGAGACTGGTTATTGTCTGGCGTTGACGTATTCCCTTTCAAGATTATGCGCAGTGTTTTGTCGCTTGTATTTATTGAGTACGTCTCCACGGCAACGACGATTGACTTAAATGTCTTACATGAATAGATAGATTATTCAATGGATAGCTACATCATCATCATAAATTGTGATATGAGTGATTGGGTTGTTAATGCAAAACATTAGTTACATTGACTTGTCTTTGCATGTGTTTGTGACGGGTACGCAAGATATGCTCACCTTTTCGCGAACACCTGGTATCATCACTATTTGATAGTGATTCATAAACACATGCTTATGATATAGTCGAAATCGTACAACCGAGATTTCCGTTGAATATGGAAAGGGTTTTGTCGCTTTTAAAGTATCCAATTCTTACATACCATCTCAACTTTGCTTTGCCTATGTAACATTGCAACTATACCTGTGTCAATACTGTCGACCAGTATCAGTGTTTAATGTTCATACATACATTTATACGATCGCTATTTGAACAGGTCCTTGGCAAGCATATTAGGTTACATCGGTCCCAGGCACGCATACTTAACTGGGCTTTTGGAAGAATGCCCTTCACCACAAGAGGACGAAACCTTCCACGCTTTTACTTCAGGATTGAGTGGACCGCTGCACAGTTGCTCCCAGACGTTGACGATGAAGTTTGACAACATCTTAGAACATTTAGGGGAGTTTGGCTCCTATCAAAAACGCTTGTACCTGCTGGTGTGTTTATCTGCAATTTCCATCGCCTTTCAGACGCTTCTACCTGTGTTTTACCTGGCCGTTCCGGATTTCAGGTAAGTTGTTTTATAATACAATTTATTGTAAACACTGTATGAGATTTATTATGAGATTATTGTTAAGGTTCATTACAAGAATTAGAAATATATTATTTACACAGGGTTTATTTTTTTCTAATTAGGTATATGTGTGTATGTCTGTCTGTCTGTCTGTCTGTCTGTCTGTCTGCTACACTATTCCTACTTTACACATAATTGCCAGCTTATGAAACATTATAAGTAAACTGTGTTTCATCATACGAGCACGTTGACAACAGGCGCGGAAATTGTGGTTTGGTTTTAATGAAAACATGTTCACCTTATGATGTAAGTGTATATAAACATATATATGAAGTAAAAACAGAAGTTTTCAATATACGTTGGGTTTGCAGTGAGGCCAAATAAACAGCTTGAAATGCAATCATTATATATCTTAGAAAACAGAAATATCTGGTGAAAATTCATATATTGCAGATGTTAATAAATACAACTAGACAAGTCACATTTTAATTTTGTTTCAATCAACAATCACTGGAAATGTTGCTTAAAAACATTGATGTTGTGCAACCAGGTCACTTTAACGGAGGTGGACACTGTACAACATGCAATTACCCTACCCCTGACCTCCTGCGTGTGTTGTGGCATACTCTGACGTCTTAAATTACTTGTGCAACGCGGTCACTTTAACGGAGGTGGACACTGTAACACTGTAACTGGACCCTACCCCTGACCTCCTGCATGTGTAGTGGCATCATCTGACGTCTTAAATTACTTGAACGAAATTGGTCTGAATAATAAATTTTAAATATGTATGTGAATAATTAATTGCTTGTTTTTAAATTTGGTGTGATGCTTTTCCCAAATGACAATATTGAAGGCTCTGTCCAGGAGGTTAAAGCACCGTAAAGATAATGTAATAACCCGAGTTTTAAACTGTATAAATGATATTATTTTGCTCAAATATGTTTGATTAAATTTGTTTTTAAATCTGACTTTGCATTCACGACTCACTTGTGAACATATCAACTTGTTCTCATCACTAACTTAAACTTTAACTCAATCGCTCTGACGCTCAAAGGTACCCTATTCGATGTGCATGGAAGAGTCAATATTGACCAAAAACAATGATAAATATCTTACATTCACATCTTTCTTGCACACATCGCTATCCCCAAGCCACCGCAATGCAGCAATGAAAGTGCGTTTATTGTCCGCCATGTGTGTCAGGTAAATATCAGCGTCAAGCATGTGGCCACTAGTACCACTTCACCTCTATCGCCCTTATATACCATGTTTGACTGACCCCTTTGAAGCCCGTAGCATTGTTTCAAACCTACATATACTATCCAAGACAAGAAACGCACTAGTTTCAAAAGTAGATTTCGTGGATGGAAAGTGATCCATGCTGCACTGCACTGAAACTCTGTATATTCTGTTTTACTTATAAAGTGTCATATGTTAATAGTCTTTAATAGAGTTACTATATTTTGACATTTGCGTGAATCGTTTTCTAAGGAAACCAAAAAGATGTTTATACGTGCAAGTCATGGAAAATTTTAGTTCGTTTTCTGAAATCATTCAGTTAACAAATTGAATTTCAAAACTCCTCGGCAATAATTCAATAATAGTGCGAGAAATAACGCTTTTGGTAGACTTCAAGTTGTATCAGAAGTTTCAGTGGCAAGGCTCAATTACTAGACTTCGGCACGATATCAGAAACATGGCACCACAAGAGATCGTCCAAGATCAGAGAGATCCCGCATCACAGCAGCCCAGGACCGCTACATCCGGGTCCTTTACTTCTAAAACAGGACGCTCACTAACAACGTCCACTACAACACCTCATCCTGGTTGACGCCATCCCCAGTATCTGCCGGAATCCGAGGAAGAAGGCCAAACATTGGTGTAGCGTTTGGTTCAGTGACGAATCTTGTTTCAGAAGGAGAGATAGGCGGATCCGTGTGTATCGGTGACGGAATGAGCGTCACACCGGATGTTGCGTACAAGAAGTCGACAGCTTCGATGGAGGAAGTGTTTTGATGTGAGGAGTCATCACTTATGGGCGAATAACAGTTCTTGTTAATATCCATGGCAACTTAACAGTTGTGCGCTATCGTGACGAGATCTTATGTCAACACGTTGTCCAAACTCTTCAAAGCCCCATGCGCCTGCAAGGCTCTGCTTCTCCCAACACAAGGGCAGGGGTGGCCCAGTCGTCTAGGGTGCCGCAATTGGCTGTTCAGATTTGCTTCCCTTGGGCACGCCAGAAATCTATGATTGTGGGTTCGAATCCCGGTTCGCCCCGATTATGTTTCAAGGTTTGTCACTACCATACCCGTGCTCTTGGGTGTCACCAAAGTGGTAAACGTCTCAGACCTGCATTACTTCAGGCTTTCCTTCCATATTAAACTGACACGCAGTGATATGACTGGGGTTCAGTTAAATGTGGCGTTGAACCCAACTCACTCACTCCCAACACAACACGAGACTGGCGCATGGAAATACGTCTCCGCTAACGTTTCATGAATTTTATTTCACTTTGAAATCTTCGAAACACACACAATGTCATTTCCCACGTATCGCTTTTGAAGCCTTCTAGATGTCAAGGATAAAATTTCCTGAAAAACACACATGAGTTTCTTTTTACGGAGAGTATATAGGCAACCGGGTGACATGTTGTTTACTTTTCCAAGTCGTACCTAAGTCTGGTTCGACACACATCGAGCGTGAGAGAGCAATAGACTTGCTCACCGCGGATCGACCTGTCTCTGACGTTGTACGACGTCTTCACGTTACGGTACGATTGTCAACGGACTACAATCATGACTGACCGCCCTCAATGGCAGGTCAAGAGCGACTGGATAGTTTTTGCAGATTAGAGATTTAGACAATTCTTGTCACTTCGAATTAGGTAAAGCTTGTTACTGCCAGCTGATACCAATCTAATATTTACTTGTAGTTTGTTCTTAAAATCACTATGGCCTGTCCATGCCAAAAATACTGAACAATGTGTATAGAACATGTGAGTGAGTGAGTGAGTATGGTTTTACGCCGCTTTTAGCTATATTCCAGCAATATCACAGCGGGGAACACCAGAAATGGGCTTCACACATTGTACCCATGTCGGGAATCGAACCCTGGTCTTCGGCGTGACGAGCGAACGCTTTAACCTTTAGGCTACCCGACCGCCCCCTGTGGACAAGAGGTCTTTGATGCTGCAAACGGGGTTCTGAACTTTCGAAACATTATCTGTACGTTCTTTATGGTGTGGAGGGTGCTAGCGGTAGGGCAGGTCATGCTCATCCTTTTCACGAACACCTGGTATCATCACTGAATTTCAGTGATCCATTCATATAGTTTTCACCACTATACTCATCGCTAAAAGAAACGCTAACTATAAAACGTATAGAGAAGTATGTACGTTAAGAAGAGATGTTTCCAATGTGAACCAATTAATGACAAAACTCATAATCAGTGTTACCACAGAGTGACTTTATTCTCATCACGATATGCTGCACGTAATTTCCAAACTTTCCATGCATTGGTGCATCTCGAGTCATGGATCTATGACGTCACATACCCACATTCCCACAACATACCAGGATGTTTGTTTGTGCATCAAATCAGTCCAATATCTCTTGAGTATGAGTAAGTCTTCATATATTAACCAACATATATGATATTCGCGTTTCTTTTGCAGGTGAGTATATATGCCTTTTACGCTGTTTCGGGGGATACTCGAGACTGATCATTCTCTCGCGTTGACGTTGTATATTTATTCATCCGGATATGCGTGACCTTTTCAGGTGTGCAGCTCCAGGCCTAGCTAATGATTCTTACAAGAGTCAAGGCTCGGCTCATGACGTCATCATCAACGGTTCTGTTCCCTGGGAACGTGATGACGATGGCGTAACGATGCTATCAAAATGCAACGTGTACTCTAACTTGACAGCGGGCAACGAGACACGACAGTGTACAACCTGGGTGTACGACGAAACCACTTTCACGTCCACAGCTCTGGCAGAAGTAAGTGCTTATAAAATTTCGAAACTGCCTGTTATTTCAAGACATTTTATCGCCCAATTGTTTCTAAATTATATAATGACGTCACAAGGAGAGACTGTAAATATTTACTATTCGCTAGAATAAAAAAGATGAAGACAATATGTTCCGTTGTGTATTATGGAGGTTGGACCAATATCGCCCTCTGTCTATTCTTACCATTATTTCTATATTCCAAATTTAATCCTCAATACGTACCAACTGTGGAACTAAGGCTGCTTTATCAGTATGCCATTTGCATTGCATCGTGTCAGTTAAATGTGGTGTTGAAGGAAAACATGGCACATATAGATCCTACAAACACCGAATCCTGACAACGAAAAAGGGACGGAACTTTTCAGAGCGAATTAATGCGCTCCAGACCACTGCACCACCCACAACACTGTAAATCCGTCGTGCAAACTTAACACACATTCAACAATATAAATATACAGAATAAGAATTTTCCTTGCTGATTTTGTTTCATCATTTCAAACAGTTCAACATTGTGTGCAGTGACAAAGGGTGGCGAGCCACATCCAACTCAATCAATTTCGCAGGAAGCCTGTGTGGAGCTTTCTTCCTGGGATTTCTATCAGATTTGTGAGCATCTCTTAACTTATACAATATCAATTGAAAAAACCTGTAGTGTCCACGTTTATATACGGTCATAAAATACGTACACTTAAGACACGCCCACTTCCAAATGTTTAAAGCAGATGCTAGAAAAATTACATTTGGAGAAGTATTGAAAGGGTTCCTACACAATATGAATATTGAAATTGCATTCACATTCAGGATCGGCCGAAAGAAGACATTCTTTCTGAGCGCACTTTTCCACAGTGCATCTGGTATCGGGTTAGCCTTCGCCCCCAACATTGAGGGTTTCATAGCACTCAGGTTCATCAACGGTGCTGCCAATGCCGGCCTCTTCATGTCAGCCTTTGTTATCGGTAAGATTTAGCCTTTATGTCGAGCAATATTCGAGTGTTTGTGACGAGTGCCACTGGTGATAGAATAGATGAATGAATGATAGATTATTCAATGGATAGCTACATCATCATCATAAATTGTGATATGAGTGATTGGGTTGTTAATGCAAAACATTAGTTACATTGACTTGTCTTTGCATGTGTTTGTGACGTGTACGTAAGATACGCTAACCTTTTCGCTTAACCTGGTATCATCACTATTTGATAGTGATTCATAAACACATTCTCATGAAATAGTCAGTATGAGTTCCAGCAGACGCAATATCAGATCTCCATTTGCTTTGTGTGGCCTGTGTGTCATAGAGACATAATTAGTATCATTTAGGTATATTTAATTTATCGATTTAACACATTCACTCCTTCAGTGACGTCCCTTTGTGTTCACCCATACTCTCCCATTTTTCCTGACTACTGTCTCGGTTGTATCTACTTGACGTGTAGCGTCCATCTTAGTTCTCTGTCATTGTCATCTAACACGTCAGTGGCCCCTATCTGTTGTCCGACCATTCGTCGGCAATGAACTTGAATCGGAATCGGAATATTACAATACACGATCGTTTATTGTGGATATGGAAGGGTCATGTCCCTTTTGTTTATTGACCAAGTGACAACTAAATATGTTGACACAACATGTTCTTCGTGTCCCTGCCTACAACAAAGTAGAGGTTTCCCTGTGAATAATTCCAATTCGCCACCACAATAGCAAATTCATACCGAACTCTCCTCTTCAGAAAATATTATTTTCAATGTTTAAATGCTGTTAATAACATATTCTATCAAATGACGTTTCCACTGTGAACAATTCAAAATCGCCGGCATGGCAGTTATCAGGAAAAGTGTGTGTGAAATACAATTTTATATACCCTATTGCTGACTGTACTTGGCTTCAGTGTGTATTGAAAATGTTTCCGAATTCTTTACTTTCGTATCCTTTTTAGGATATCCACTTTACTTTGCATCATGGCTTCCAGTCGAATAGTTAAAAAAGAAATTTAAGACCTTTTAGAATGCAAAATCAGTTTAGAACTCCAATTAAAATAGATTAGGCTTACAAAAAGAGCCAATATGACATACTCAATGATGAAATACAGAAATAACAGAGGGTATGTGTGTATTATTCATTCATGTAAGTTGTGTAGCATGTGTAGTTAACTCGAGTTGTGTTACAATGATTGATGCATGCATGTATTGACGACATTTCTTCTTTCAATATTGCCTTTCATAAACACATGTTTAGTTGAAAGAGTATATTTTTCTTATTGTAACTGCTCTCAATTTCGAGTTATTATATTGTTATATATAGCAGTTGTATTGATTACATTAAGCTGTTTTTATCGTTTTAGTTCCAGATACATAATTATTATCCAGTTATATTTGCCAGTTAACGTCCGACCCCAGTGGCCTTAACTGGTCGTATTATTTCGGTTATTTCCCTTTGAAGGGGTGGAGCTTGTCGGGCCCTCGAAAAGAGTAATTGCTGGAATTGTCATCGAACTGTTCTGGTGCCTCGGTCTGTTCATTCTGGGAGCTGTGGCTTATGGTATTCGGAACTGGCAACACCTTCAGCTGGTTCTCTCTGTGCCATCTGTGCTATTGCTCTTCATGTGGTGGTAGGTACATTGTATATAATGCTATTTTTGTGATATTGATAAGGCACTGCCCTACTCTGCTTATATCATAAAAAGGCGAATTCGGCCTTGACTGAAATCTGCCATCCCACTTCATGTACTGTTCTCGTCTTAAAGAACATAATTATATCAAAAACGTGTATGCTAGTTACGACCCCAGAAACAGTCCTCAGTTGGCAATGATAGCTCGTATCATCACTAGTTGATATGGATTCATACACACATGCTCAGGATATAGAATCAATGCTGGACTGCTTTTAGAAGAGATTTCTTATAATTATGGAAATAGTTTTGTCGGTTTTTATTTTCTTAAAACCAGCTAGTAAGGATTTTGTGGTTACAATCTGTCACTTGACTGACTGTGTGTCTATTCCGCAGGTTTATTCCCGAATCTCCAAGATGGCTGCTGTCACGTGGGAGGGACGCTGAAGCTGAACAGATTATCCGGAAGGCGGCAGAAGTGAACGGCGTTGACCTTCCTCCCAAACTATTCGACAAATCAACAGTGGACCTGCAGAACCAGCCCAAAGTCAGGGTGTGGGAAATGTTCACAACGCCAGTTCTCCTCATAAGAAGTCTCATCATCTTCTTCAATTGGTAAACGGGACATCACTGACAGGAACCCTTCATCTCATCAGCAATGTCTTCCAGAGCCCTGTTTCACAAAGCGCTAAGATGATCGTAACTCCATACTTGAACATAAACTTACGACAGTCGTAGCGCAACGATCGCTTTGTGGAACGGGGCCCTGGAAATTCTTATAAGTGATTCACTGAAACACGTTATACGTCGTTTATAAACACGCCCTGTGTCATAAAGGAGCAATCATCACATTTAGTAATTTACAATATTCATCACGTTCTTGTTCCATGATGTAAAAACATAATAATTGTCGCACGCGGACACGTGGTGGCACAGGTGACCCAGGGCCAAATGTCGCTGTGAGGTTGGTCCCGTTGGCTTAGGGCCCCGTTCCAAAAAGCAATCTGAGCGCTAAGACTTTCGTAACTCCAATACTTTAACACAGACTTACGATAATCGTATTTCTGAGATCGCTTTGTGCAACGGGGCCCGTACTTATTACGAAGTGGTAACTGTCAAAGGCCTGCTTCCCGTTCCTGTCGTGATGACAAAGTAGGCACTTTTTATGGATAACAACTTACATCCGTTGCCAAGCAACGGTCTTGCCTAAGGCTGAGAACGGTTGTTGTTATTCGTAAATTGTGTCTGCTTCGTCATCCGTCAACATCTAAGTAATGCCTATCAAACAATTTTTGTCGTGATGTATGTGAAATATCAGGCCCATCTCAATTACTTGCATGGTGTGTTGTAGGTTTGTGGTCAGCATGGTGTACTACGGTCTTGGCCTGAACGTACAAAACCTCAGCGGAGACATCTACCTCAATTTCACGATTGCTAACATCGTGGAAACATTGGCCTACGTACTATGTATTTTCCTCCTCGATCGTGCTGGAAGAAAGAAACTGCATTGTGGGAGCATGATGCTGGGTGGTATCGCGTGTCTGGCGACCATGTTTCCTGTAATGTATGGCAACAGCTGTAAGATTTTATAACGTTTCGAGTAAAGCACAGGTGTTTTTTTAAACATGAAAGTACATGTAGCAGCATTGTTCTTTATTGCATTTTGGTCATCAAAATTACACCAAGAAAGTATATGATATATGAATATGACATCATGGTTTGGGGATTGAACTGGATAAATTTGACATTTAAGACCAAGTAGTGTGTTTGTGTGGAAACAAGCACATGTCTACAAGGGAAAAAAATGACTTACATTTGCATGTGTTTGTCACAGGTGGGCAGGATACGCTTACCTTTTAATACTTAATACTTTCATAGCGTGATTCATAAACACATTTATTTATTATTTATTTATCTTTTATTACAATTATGGAATTTTTTTGACCGCTTTTATTTCCACAAAAGACAAGATGTTTCATTGCTCAGAGAGACGCTTGTCATATATTCTCCTTGAATGAATGAGAATTTAAAAAAAGGGTATAGTGCTATAAAATCATAAAAAAAACATACCAAAGTTTTCACAAAGACTTAATGACTCCAATACATGATATTCATCAAACCGAAAACTTCAGAAACATTATCGTATATTTTGATTGGGTATCGTTTATCATTATTTCGTTGATACATATGAACAGTTTGTGGCATACCGATTCCTTAGACTAATATCTTCTTTACCAAAACAGAAAGCCACGGGGGAATACAAATATTTAAGATTGTGCAACTTTTAATTGGTTGTTTCAGCCCACACCTGGATTACCACAGCACTGTCAATGATTGGGAAACTTGGTGCTTCTGGAGCCTTTGCCATCATATACGTATTTTCTGCCGAACTGTTTCCAACTATTGTCAGAAACTCTGGAATGGGTTCTAGCTCCGTATTTGCACGTGTAGGGGGAATTATCTCCCCTTTCGTTGCTGATATAGTACGTACACATATAGCAATCTTCATTAAATTGACATGAAGGTACAGTGTAGCCTCATTAACTTTATATAAAATTATATGGCGTGAACAACCAATACCCTTTCGAATGTTATTGGAACCGTGGCACAGGCGAGATCACAAGTGACGAAGGAATGATAAAATGCGCATTTTTCATGACGAAAAAACGAAATCATTATATATTTGGTATTATGTGCTTACATGTGTACTATCATTGTAATTTTCTTCCTAAGGTCGCAGTGGAAATAGCTGCTGTGTGGAGTTTTGTTTGTTTGTTTGTTTGTTGTTTAACGTCGCACTCAGCAATATTCCTGATATATGACGGCGGTCTGTAAATAATCGAGTCTGGACCAGACAATCCATTGATTGACATCATGAGCATCGATCCACGTAATTGAGATCGATGAGATGCATCAACCAAGTCAGCGAGCCTGACCACCCGATCCCATTAGTCGCCTCTTACGACAAGCATATTCGCCCTTTACAGCAAATATGGGTTGCTGAAGACCTATTTACCCCGGATGTTCACGGGTCGTGTGTGGAGTAGCACCAAAGTATACATCTATGGCCGGGCCACTCTTGGTACCACTGCAACTTTAAGCATTGATATGACTCTACGTTAATTGTACACTATTAGGCCGCCATATATTTCTTGTTTTCATGAAGCAACTCAATCCGTGTGCAGGTGTGTAATGTAAGCTAGTCTGGGTGATGATCTGTTCTATAATTACTACTTACGTATTTGGTAGAATATATGACATTTGTTAACAAAGAACTTGTTTCCATTTTTAACAGGGCTTACTTGTTGGAGGCAACCTTAAAACAGCTCTTCCTCTTATTGTGTTCGGAGCTGTGAGTGTGGGTGCGGGACTGCTCTCACTTGCACTTCCGGAAACCCTCGACCGAAAACTTCCCGAAACAATCGAAGACGCCAAAGCATTTGGAAGGTATGTGATATGAATATCATCTTGAGGATTATTTTGAAAAGACGTTTCTGTTAAGTTGAGACTCTATTCAATAATACACCTTACAGAAGTCACAAATCGCTTTACAAGGATCACAATTATATCCAAATGATAACACATGTTTTCTTTACATTAACGTTTTATAATCATGACAATCCATTAAATTTATGAATGTACTCATCGTCTGTTTAAGGACCAACAACAGGAGAGAATACAATCTGGACACGCTTGAAGATATCAAGTCGGATGATAAACAAGCTAATGAGTTTAAGAAGACATACGACCAAAAGTTCTAATCTGAAAAGACAGATAAGAGTGACTGCTTGACACTTCACCCCTTACCGTGTAGCAAAGGACAGGATCGAAGACTGGTAACGAGAATGCGGCGTTACAGTTGCCGACTGATGCGTGATATATCCGATGATCATGAAACAAAAGTGATGGGTATTTCAGTGGCGTGACCGCTGACACTGTTATTGCGTTTTGTGTGAAAAACCTTCCTGAAATATACTGTTCTTTTATCAGATAGTTGACTCGTTTTCGTGTTTTCGTGCATTTGACGTATATACATGTATGTCATTAGTTATGATAATAAAAGCAATATGACCTTTTTCTAAGGAAACAAAGAGGAAACCCCATATACCAGAACCTTTCCTCACGAATGGTTGACAATGCCCAGCAGAGTTCCCCAAAGTCTTATGAGTGCTCTCACATTCGCACTTAACATATACACACTCGAGCATAATCTAGCTCGCACACACGGGCATAATCGTTACCGTTTTTATCTTAACATTATCCAGTGTCCATGCTTCATACTTGGTTATTATCCCTCCATTTCTACATACAATAACACTTGATTTATAAAGATTTACACACAGTCCCCGTTTCAAGGAATATGTATGTAAAACATCTAGATGTCTCTGCAAGCCCCAAACAGTATACGAGAAAAATACAATGTCCTCGGCAAATAAGAGTAACATCAGATCTGACAAATATTCCATGATCGCAAGCTGCATATATTTCCAACACAAGCTCATTGATAAAAACATTAATAAGACAGGGCTCAAAACGCATCCTTGTCTTACCCACTAGAGGTGTTAAAAAGAAGAAGTTTTAAAGCAACCAATCGTTACACCCGCTTTTACAGATGCATGCATACTTCTTTTTAACAAATTGTAATTTTACCATGATATCCTTTTTGTAGAAGTAAAAATAGCATTTTCTCCTGTCAACATAATCAAACGCCTTTCTGAAAAAAATGAATGCACAATATAATCTACCTTTTGGCTTAAAGAGATATTTGGAACATAATGCATGCAACGTAAATATATGATCAATGGTAGAATATTGAGAACGGAAATCTGCTTGGAATTCTGAAATAAGCTCATTTACCTCTTTTCCAGATTCTAAGGCGTTTTTTTAGAACAGACGTAAAAACCGTCCCTAAGTTGTTCAAAAGAGAAATGCCTCTGTAGTTTTAAGGATACATTTTAACTCCACTTTGTATAATGGTATTATCATCCCTAGATTCCATACCTCAGGAAACACTCCGCTATCAAGAACTTTGTTAAATAACAAGACTAGAAAGTTTTAAGAGTACAGGCGGCATACCGTCCTTTCCTGGTGCTTTTCCCAACTCTAAGTCCGCAATAGTATCCTGGATTTCTTTCTCAGTAATACGACCAGATATCAGATTCGTCAGTAAATGGCAATTCGTTACAATCATGACATGAATGGCTTTCAATAAAATCTATAACGGATTGATCAAACAGTAAATGATCAGTTCGTTGATCCGTGTTTAGCAAATTCTTAAATCAGGAATACCACCCTTCTGGGGTAATAGATGATTTGCCTTTATCACTAAAGAGAAGGCGTTTTAATGATTTCTAAACTGTTTACAGTTACTCTGGGAGGCGGCATCTTTTATATCATCAGCTGTTTTACTGTCATATAAACTCTTTTTGTGCTTACCCCAATGTTTAAAGTTTGATTTGGCCAATATATTATCATTGATGCTCATTTCACACTTAAATTTCCTTAACTTATAAAGACATTTGTACTCTTCAGCCTTGCGATTATTATATTCTTCATCAAACCATGGTGGTTTATTATCTGTGCTCTGAGCAAAATTGTAGCTGTCATAACCAACTTGTGAGCAACAAAGTCCAAATAATTCAGTTAATATAACTACTGCAGCATTGACATCTTCAGTTAATAGTATTACATATTCTTCCTTCATCAAACTCAAAGAATTGGTTGAAATTAAGATATCAAAATTCAAGTGAGAATCTTCTCGAAATCCTAATCTTGAAATTTTCTCAACAGGAGTGAGTGAGTGAGTGAGTGAGTGAGTGAGTGAGTGAGTGAGTGAGTGAGTATGGTGTTACGCCGCTTTTAACAATATTCCAGCACATTGTACCCATGTCGGGAATCGAACCCGGATCTTCAGCGTGACGAACGAACGCTTTAACCACTAGGCTACCCGACCGCCCCTTCTCAATAGGAATATTCACTAAATTACAATCCGAACTTTGAAAAGCAACTTACATTCCAGTGGCAAATGATCAGATTCAGTTCGCGGCAATACAGCTATATCATGGCGATTAGTAAATAAGGCGGTGCTAATGATAAAATAGTCAACACCACTAGTTCCTTTATTTGAAATAAAAGTAAAGTTACTTGGAGTGTCGCCGTTTGTACGACCATTAACAATATGCATATTCATGGCTTTGCACAAAGCAAGAAGTTGTTTTCCATAATTGTTTACTACATTATCTCAACATAATCTTGGTTTAACAAACGAATCATCATGATATAATTCTTCATCAACAGGTACATTTTTGGGGCCATCGTCAATAATGTAATCTGGTTCAGAGTCTGTTCTAGCATTTAAATCTCCACATATGATAAACAAAGAGTCAATTCCATATTTATGTTTTAACTCTTCTAGTTTATCTTCTAATAAGCCGACACCACTGTCTTCATTGTCATACTCCGTTGACCCCGCCGGGTTTATATAGAAGAATGCAAGAAATCCGCTTGAAATGTGATTTTAATGCTTTGCTTATGCAAACAGAAATTTCCCCCAGAAAATCGTCCACGGTTCTGCCGACGTTTTCCCTCTGATGTAAAACAAAGATAATCATCAGAAGTGTTACATTTTTCTGCACCACAACACATCGTCTCTAAGAAACCAAATATATCAAAATTGTACAAAAAGATACAACAAAATTGCAGGAAAGAGTAGATCGGAGACCATTTACGTTCCAAGTGCAAATTGATAAAATATTTTTTGGGACAGTAGCAAAGGTAGATACTGGTTGAGGGGCATCACAGCTCTGTCTATCACTGGAGCCTACGGCCGTTCTCCTATGGTGTCTCGCGTTGTCTCCCTTCAGAGGGAGAATTGTCCGAGTTATCTCCCCTTGCCATATCTGAATGTTGAGTATCATTATGGGAATGTGTTTGCGGGGACGATCTCTTCACCCAGTAACGTCGCTGTCCAATTTGTTGCAGCTCACACGTTGATTCATCTAGAATGTACACACTGCCGTCTGTAATGAGCTTGTCGTAGCTAAGAAAGGCGGTACATCCCTCCTTCTTTGTCCATAAACGGGAACAGCTGTGATCGAAGCCACATCAACCTTTCTGTGAAGTCCTCCGATATGCGAAAGTTATTGTTACCTTTAAGGTGCTGCTTTCTGTCTGCCTTCAAAATACTCGGTTTGTCTTTGTAAGACGCAAACTTGACAATGACAGGCCGAGTTGCTTTCTTACTGTTTAAACGGTGTGCCCTCTCTATTGGTACTGAATCAGCGTCAGGAAGTCAAATTTGGTCATGGAGGAAGGCTTTAACTTTCGACTCACTCATATCCCATGGTTCTCCACGTTCTTCTTTCAGGCCAGGGGCGGTCTGGTAGCCTAGTGGTTAAAGCGTTCGCTCGTCACGCCGAAGACCCGGGTTCGATTCCCGACATGGGTACAATGTGTGAAGCCCATTTCTGGTGTCCCCCGCCGTGATATTGCTGGAATATTGCTAAAAGCGGCGTAAAACCAAACTCACTCACTCACTCTTTCAGGCCATGAAATATGAGATTTGATCTTTTTGATTGAGCCTCAATGTTATCAGTTTTTAATACCAGATTAATAACCTTTTGCTTTAAATCATCATTTTCCAATTTCATATTCACAAGTCTCTCATCGTAATCTTTGACGAACAAATCACATTTCAGGCTTATAGCCGGCAATGAACATCAAGTCAGTTCTTCTGCACACTTTTCCCCATTGTTCTTTCGTTTTGTAATCGGCTATTGGATACTTGTGTAAATAGCAAGAATGTGTACTATCTCGTTCTGTCATTCCAACAATCTCAACAGACTGGTGTAATCACTGATTTTCAGTGATCGATTGATATAATTCCCACAGCTATTTGCCTTTTACGCCCAAATAAATCTTTTTAGGCGGGTAATCGAGACTGTTTATTCTCTGGCGCTGACGTTTTATAGTTGGTATGTAGGAAACGATCATTATTCTTACGTACATTCAGTACGTCTGGAATATCTTCAATAGTCCAGTCAGTGGAATAAAAATTAGAATGCAAGGCAGCTACGACATGTGTATTAATGTTGACATCTTACAAGCATTGTCCTGTTTTTTTCCTTATACATTCTATACTATATATAATCAAGTATATCATGACTTAAGCATTCCATCGTTTGAGATACAAATGCGATACGATATGTAATATTCCGGTTGTATAGTGCTTGTCCACTGAGGTACAACATCTCAGTTTAAGATGTTTACCCCTACTAAAACAAGTTAACTCCGAGTCGATATTTTATGGTATGTTTGTATGACGCGGTCAGGATCGAACCATCGGCCTTCCGAACTCCGGGCATATGCAAGACCACATAGACAGTCCAATATGTCGTGATACACATTCAAAAGTGTATATACTAGGAATCGTGGCATAATCATCATAATCCTTCTACACATTAACATGTTTTTACATATGTCCGTCACGACTAAAACTCATAGAGGAAACTCAATGTTCTCTTTAAATTGACTGTTCTTGGCGCATACCATAAAGAATCAACCATGACTACCAACAGAAGCGTCTGGGACGAGATGTGAACCTGAAAAAAACCCTATACATCTTTTTTCTATTACACATGCATGTACTTGTTGAATTAAAAAAGATTTCTCTACCCTACACTCATTTTTCGTAAATGTATATGTATTCATGTATGATTTGGGTTTGACTGACCAGAATGGCTTCCCTTGTGTCGTGCACACACATATGAACGTCAGTTTCGCGATCATGTGACCGATCTCTCTACCAATGGAAAAGCCGTATATCAGGTGAACTACACATTAAAAAATATTACGAGATACATGTATAAGGAGAAAGCCTGGTATGGAATATATTGATATTGGTAGATTGCTTCTGTTCTCAGGATTCATTTAGGAAATGTTATGACGTCACTGCCTTGTAAGTTGAAAGATGAATAATTGTCTCCCTTTTGTAACTCGTCTTGTGTTTTATCTGCTTCTGTGTTCGAGTCGCAAAACGTATCACCATGTAGTCCCTTCTTGCTACTGGCTCTGAAATAAATAGCACATGCTTAAATACGAAGCAGTAAGTACCATACGTTAGAACTAACGGTGATGAGCTGAAATCCTAAATCAATCTTTTATCACAACGATGTATTTGTGAGCTTGCAAAACCGCCCTTGATGCTATTAATATCTTATGACACACTAATATTACGGAGATATTTGTCATCGCGGCCCCGCTGATTAACGTCACTCATTCACTAGCAGTATATCAGTATGATGCTAGTGTAAATTTGTAGATTTGTTAAATGGGTATTTGTGGCCAAAGTGACTAGATAGTTCTAAAAATCGAGGACGAATTGGTACAAAATCCTGTTGCCTGGTAGATTATGTGTGATCGTACCCAGTGTTGCTCACACTGTCGACCACTGGTTCGTCTGTTCATGACCTAATTCCAGTGTGCCATGATATAGCTGCACTAGAGCTGACTATAGAACCGCGATATGATACACATTAATACAGGCTGCTGTGACATAGTTATACTATAGCTGACCACAGGTTAACTTGTCACATGTCATTGTCAAACAGGTGAACTAATTTACTAGCTGAATGGGTTTCTACGAACATTTCCTTACAATTTCAAAAGATACGAAGAATAATTTTCGCTTAAATATGTGTGTGTAACAATAAGACAGCTCTATCTCGGGGTTGCTATTGGATTATAGGTTTGATTACAACGAACAGTAAGCAGGGTCCATTGTGACGTGACAAGCAGGTGACGTCATGATGTGCGTACAGGATTGCCCGCCGCCCTGTGTGGGTTTACTGGCCAATCAGACAGATAGGATATTTAAAGAGCAAAGATAAAGAGGAATACGTGATATACCTTGTGTACTTTTTAAAACTGGCCGCCATAGTATTTTGCAATTAGTGAGTGAGTGAGTTGGGTTTAACGCCGCTTTTAACAGTATTCCAGTTATATCACGGCGTGTCTGCTTAATGTGGGAAGAAAGCCCGAAGTGATCCAGGTCTCGGACGTTTACCACTTCGATGAAACCCACGAGCACGGGTATGGTGCTGACAAACCTAGAAACATATTCGGGGCGAACGGGCATTCGAATCATAATCATAGGTTTCTGGCGTGCCCAACGGACGCAACTCTGCACAACGAATCGCGACAGCTTAGACGACTTGGCCACCCGTGCCCCGCTTCTCGAGCTATGAAATAGTAGGATAAAGAGGAACAGGGTCGATATAATATATTATTTTCGGATATGTGCTACATTAAAAAAATGACAGGTGTGTAGTGTGTGAGTAGTAAACTGACAAACAGAACACCTGGCACTACAATCACACAAATAATGAAGCTGACACAAGTAGTCGTTACCGATGTACTGGTGTTATGCGAAGACAACGCTTAAAAGTATCAGCACCCAGCCCACACCACGAATCGGACTGAAACATGATGCAGTGAAAAACGATTATTGTCAACCACCGACGCTGCAATCAGTCTCACGGATGACATTCGCGAGGCGTCTCCTCATGCTGCTTATGAGGCTTTCAACATGGGTGCCCTCTGTCATTAATGGTTCAGTGCATGGGTCAGTTCATTCAATTAATAGATGATGCACGCTCAGTACATTAAAACAATATGCTGTCCATTGTTTGTCATTATTGTTCGGAATTGGATTTTGAATCAGGTAGTACTTATGTGTAAATATAGCGTTCACTAGATGATAAAAATATGTGCGTGTCCAGGTAGTATAGACGAATAAGGGAAATTAATATAGTACAAAATATACTCAATCATACTTTCCAAATGTTTTGGCATCATCGATGTTTTCGGGGAGTTGTTGACGCCTGGTTTCTGGAAGTAGAAGGGAAAGAAGTCCCGCGCAAACGGTAACAGCTCCGAACACAATCAGTGGAAGCACCGTCTCTAGGCTGCCCCCGAGGAGGATGCCCTGGGAAGATATGGATAATGACAAGAGCAGTCTTTAAAAAGACATATGGTAGGTTGGCCACGCACCGCTTGCTGGAGGACAACATTTTTCATTTCTATTCCGCTCCTGTTACTTGTACACAGATTTTTGGCGGAATTATGGTGGAATTACCTCCCACGTTTTCACCCTAGAATTACATACATACCGATTAAACAGCTCTAGAACATTTACAAATTCAATTTGAATTCCCATTCAGTCATATACTGGTAGTGCGGCCTTCTAATTTTATCTTTATTATTCCCCTGCATGTGCATGGACGTGTCGGGCTCCACTTTCTTCATAGGGTCCGTGAAGGATACAGCCATCTCGCGAAATGCATGTGTTTGATTTTCCCAATTCCGGCAATGCCGAAATTCATAGTCATATGCATAAAGACACAAATCAGAGAGGAGGGTTGCACAATTGGAACATGTCATGCAAATAAAAGCGACAAAACCCTTTCTAGAATCATTAAGAAGCCTTTGTAAGATTCCGACTATATCATAAGAATGTGTTTATTAATCACTATAAATTAGGCTGAATGTGTGATTGAGATATCACTAAACATCAAACGTAGTGTCAACTTTCGAAGAAGTGTCTAGCATAAGAGTAAACCACAACGTCATACATACCAGATCTGCAATATAGGGGGCGACAACTCCTCCAACAGATGAAAATAAAGAGTTGACACCCATTCCAGAGTTTCGCACTACAGTTGGAAACAGTTCGGCGGAAAATACGTAAATGATGCCAAAGGCTGCAGAAGCACCAAGTTTCCCAACCATTGACAGTGCTGTTGTAATCCACACGTGAGCTGAAAACAACATGCCGGAAAGGATAGAATATCCATTCTGGTCTTTTAGTAGCATATACAGTAAACTACGGTTATAACGAACTCAAAGGGATTACTAATTTTAGCTCGTTATAACCGTAGTTCGTTATAAGCATATATACAGCATAACTACAGCAAATAGTTGGGACCAAAGGGTAAATTCGTCATATACGTCAGTTCGTTATAAGCGTGTTCGTTTTAACCGTAGTTTACTGTATTGTTATCTTAGTAAAAGTTAATAAATAAGTATCATGTCAAATAAGATTCAATGTTTGCTTATGGCACAAATACACGGATAAGAAGCTTGATGATTATGTAGGTGCCATGAGCAAGATGTTTTGTTTGATTTCTTGACATATGGGAACTACAGTTTAAATATTAAGATTTAACCTAATAACAATACATTGTAGCACGGGCCTTCTGTAACTCCCGATGCCCTGTGAAGGGGTGGAGCCTTCGATGCCCTGTGAAGGGGTGGAACCTTCGATGCCCTGTGAAGGAGTGGAGCCTTCGATACCCTGTTAATGGGTGGAGCCCCCCATACATTGCACTTTGAGCAGTGGCCATAAGTCGCTTTTTCAGTCTGCTGTTATGGCCATAATGAAACTAGAAACTAGAATTTGAGCCCCTTGAACAATTTTGTCTGTCTTCATTAATGGGAACAAGCAAGTGAAGTTAACGCTTTATTGGTCCTGAGGTTTCTGATGAGAACGTTTTGCAGACGACACTGGCTAGGACGGACGCCAGGCAAGCAGGCCATGACATAAGCTCACTTGACTTTCAGTCAGGTGAACTAAATATGGAGGCTGGAGATTGGAAGTTAACACAAAAACGTAAGACAAAAGACGAAAGACTCCGTAAAGGAGAAATATACTAAAATACGTTGCATCAACAGATTCCCGAAGGCGTCAGTTTTACTTGTTTAATTTTGGCCAGTGGATTCCTGGTTCAGAATCAACTGCACCAACAATAGCGTGACGTCATCATAATGGGATAGAACGGGGTGTCACGTCATATGCCGTGGTGACGTGACCTGAAATTTGATTGACTCATTGCTATACTCTCGATATTTTAAGGGGGGTCAGTCTTTCGCAACTGCCCATCGAAATATCACTTGTAATTCCATTCAACAACTAGAATTGAGACGGTTAAACCGTTTCAAATGCTTACAGCTGTTGCCATATATAACAGGGAATGTGGTGGCCAGACACGCGATACCACCCAGCAGCATACTCCCACAATGCAGTTTCTTCCTTCCGGTACGGTCGAGGAGGAAGATGCAGAGGACGTAGGCAACAGTCTCCATGATGTTGGCGATTGTGAAGTTGAGGAAGATGTCTCCGCTGAGGTTCTGTACGTTCAGTCCAAGGCCGTAGTAGACCATGCTGATTACAAACCTGAAACACAGCGAAGGCCGCATGTGAGAAACATTTAAATCTGTTTGTCCAATTACCGAAATGGACCCAATATCGTAAACTGCTTCTAGGATGCTTATCTATTATTAGGAGGTCGTCTTACAGGCTCTCCCTGCCACACTTATACTCTGCCGCCCACCTCCTTACGGTGGCATAGGGAGTGGCATCCTTTCCGAGTGTTGTACCCATATTTCATGAATAGCTTTCGGGTGAAAATTTGACTTGCCGTTTCATGTGTTTGTGACGGGTACCACCTGTGGGGAATGATGCGCTCAATTTTTCGCGAACACTTGTTATCATCCCCATTTGCCAGTGATTCATAATTGAAGTAAACACTTGACTCGCCTTTGCATGTGTTTTCATAAGAAAACATGTTCATGATATAGTCGGAATCATGCAATGGACTCTTAGCTGAGATGTTATCTAAAATCTATGAATGCTTTATAACGTCAGCTACTATCTTGTTATGGCATGACCCACGTCTTCAGATTCTTATCTGAAACCACTGAACTGACGGAGCGGAAACTTATCTGACATTGTTCCGATCCGACCTGTGATATAATCACGGCATTTAAGACCATTTTATTGCCAATGTGATGTCATTTTGTTTATGTGTAGTTTGTAGTCTAATCAGAAAGCATTGGACAAATGAAGCTGAACATATGTCAAATGTAACAAGGGGCCAGAAGTTAGCGGCGGGTTCGCTATTCGTTTTTCGAATAACGAAAAACAAGCCAGCAACGGGTTCGTTATTCAAAGGCTGTATATTAAACAACTACAGTAATGTGGTCAAATACACTGAAACTCATTTAATATATGACAGCAGGTTCGTCTTACATCATCATCTAAAAGCTGTTTAGTTATTCAGTACTTTTGAATAACGAAAAACAAACCAGCACCGGGTTCGTTATTCAGACTTGGTATAAAAATATAAGATACCGTATTTACAGTGGGTTCGTTATTCGTTATTAGTTTTTCGAAAAACGAAAAACAAGCCAGCATCGGGTTCCTTATTCAAAGGCTGTATATTAAACAACTGCAGTAATGTGGTCAAATACACTGAAACTCATTTAATATATGACAGCAGGTTCGTCTTACATCATCATCTAAAAGCTGTTTAGTTATTCAGTACTTTTGAATAACGAAAAACAAACCAGCACCGGGTTCGTTATTCAGACTTGGTATAAAAAATATAAATATACCGTATTTACAGTGGGTTCGTTATTCGTTATTAGTTTTTCGAATAACGAAAAACAAGCCAGCACCGGGTTCCTTATTCAAAGGCTGTATATTAAACAACTACAGTTATGTGGTCAAATACAACTAAAACTCATTTAATATATGACAGCAGGTTCGTCTTACATCATCATCTAAAAGCTGTTTAGTTATTCAGTACTTTTGAATAACGAAAAACAAACCAGCACCGGGTTCGTTATTCAGACTTGGTATAAAAAATATAAGATACCGTATTTACAGTGGGTTCGTTATTCGTTATTAGTTTTTCGAATAACAGAAAACAAGCCAGCACCGGTTTCCTTATTCAAAGGCTGTCTATTAAACAACTGCAGTAATGTGGTCAAATACACTGAACTCATTTAATATATGACAGCAGGTTCGTCTTACATCATCATCTAAAAGCTCTTAGTTATTTAGTACTTTTGAATAACGAAAACAAACCAGTCCCGGGTTCGTTATGCAGTTTGAAATGGAATAAAGAATCTGCTACTGTTTTTATTTATGTACTTATTTACAATAAAGACTTAAATTGTGGGAAACCTTTGCAGAAGTAACCCTCATTAAATATTGACTGTATTTTAGGGCAAATAAACACATATAGGAAAATGTAATTGTATAATAAGTGTGGCTCGTAGACCCTGTCACTGTATCGCTTTCTCCAACAACCACCCACCACCCCCAATTCCTACATCCGTTCCCACAGAAATAAAACGTTTCTGGTCAGTGTCCATCGTCGCCCCCAACAGACAGGATGTCTTACAATGTATCTATATTTTCATAAACTACATGACTGTTCAGTTAATGGTGGTGACATATCACACACCTCCATTAAGATGTCTTATTACTGTCCGAATGTCTGATACTATGACATTAGATTTGTTTGGGTTTGTAACTTTGATCGTTGACTACGACCTGTAATGGATCACATGATTGTATTCATCATGAAGGTGACAAGTTAACCTCACGTTTGTTTGCACGTTTCCAGACAACCACTTGCATAGTGTTGTAAACTTAGATTATAGTTCAGTAGAGTTCAAGACTTCAGTAAACATAAGTGCACATTGTCTGTATAGCAGATTGCCATTTAGTATTATACCAGCCAGATGGATCAGTTTTGCTTTGTGACGTATATAACTTTCTGTCCACAGCAAATTTACCTATAAAATGATCATAACTGCTATCCGACGAACGACCTTTTATAGAAAATACTGTCTGGGTAACTCACTACATTTAACTGTAATGAAAATTATCATACAAGAGTGTAAGTAGTATTGTAACCCTTACCTACAAATAAAGTGAATACAGTTTGATTTATCCCCTTTTAGTTCGTAATTATTCATCCATAAACTGCCGGAAAGAATCCGACTGAATAGAGTTATTGATAAAAGATAAATGGTGCTGTTTAGATGCCAGTTTCTGGACAGCACTAAAAACCTCTTGAACATAGATTAGACCACCTCACATTTGTCAATTTGTTGGACATGAACTGAAAACTAAAATGTTGCAGTTTAGTTTTTCGTTATTCAAAAGTACTGAAAACAGCTTTTGGGCTATGTAAGACGAATCAGCCTTCATATATTAAATGAGTTTCAGTGTACTTGACCACATTACTATAGTTGTTTAATAAACAGCTTTTGAATAAATCTATAAGTGTATTATACGTAGGATGAAGGTGCCTGTCTGCAAGGCTATTCTACCCACCAGTTAAAGAAGATGATGAGACATCTGATGAAGAGAACTGGCGTTGTGAACATTTCCCACACCTTGCCTTGAGGCTGATTTTCCTGCTTCAGAGTCGACTTGTCGAATATTTTGGGAGGAAGGTCCACGCCGTTTACTTCTGCCGCCTTCCGGATAATCTGTTCAGCTTCAGCGTCCCTCCCACGTGACAGCAGCCATCTTGGAGATTCGGGAATAAACCTGTGAGAAAAAGGATGACTGAGAATTGACGCCCACACAGAAACGTTCCAACACATTTTCGTGTAAAGGCGACGTCATATTACTTTGTGAAAAACGAATCGCGTGGTTAGCAGAATCCACAAAAAATAAACTTGAGTAAAATGTTTTCTGAAATACTGACTGACAAAAATTAATTTATCAAGAATAATATCTCTACTGTAAGAAAACTAACGGAAAACATAACACATAACAGGAACGACCTGATGACTTGATGCAATGATGTCCGATGCAATTTTCTATTTTGACGTGTACCGTAATATGTTCCCGTGTTTGTTCATGTCAACGCTTGACCTACATTTGTATGTGTTTGTAACAGGTGACACGAGTTGGGCGGTATACGATCATCTTTGTGTAAACACCTTGTATGAACACTAGTGATTCATTAACACATGCTTAAAGTATAGTCGGAATCGCACGACCGTATGATGATTATGGACAGGGTTGTGTCGCTTTGTGACTTGACGCCCACATGACGACTACACGACTCCTACACGACGCCCACATGACGCCTACATGACGCCCACATGACACCCACATGACGCCCACATGACGCCCACAAGGACATGCGAATCAGTGTGTTATGTGTAATACTGCAAAATGAAGAAACATTTATCATTACAAGAATCATTTACATTTATTAACCTACAAAACAAAAACAAAGTATTTGCAAAAGTGTCTATAGCACTTACCACCACATGATTAGAATCAGTGCTGAAGGCGCAGAGAGAGCTAGTTGCAGATGGTGCCAGTCTCGCAGACAATAGGCAGCGGCGCCAAGGATGAACAAACCAAGACACCAAAACAGGTCAATGACCATTCCTGCAATCACCCGCTTTGATGGTCCCACAAACTCCATCCCTATAAGAAAGAGGAAATATTGCCTAGGCTCATAACTTGATAATATCAACAATAAATTGTCATAATTACATAATTAAATTTTCGTTGTGTTCATTGTAATTTCTGCTTTTCTGCTTAGCTGAATTGGTCACGTATTATTTCATTAATTTCAAAGTGAATATAAAAAATTAAGCCACAGCCTGAATGCTGTCATCACTAGGTACGGAATGTCGGGGAATTCCAAGACGTATTACAGTCGAGTGAATGTCCGTTCTGCTAATGACCGGTGAAGATCCGGGGTAGAATAGGTCTTCGGATGGTTGATGCATGTCATCGATCCAAATTGCGTGGATGGATGCTCATGATATCAATCACTGGATAGTCTGGTCCAGACTCGATTATTTACAGACCGCCGTCATATATAGTTGGAATATTGCTGAGTGCGGCGTTAAACAACAAACCAACCAACCATCCTCTCTGTTAATCTGTAGCATCATGTCGCCGCGAATAGCTGCAAAATTGCTGATGCGGCGTTAAGCAGTATTCACTCACTCACTCACTCACTCACTCACTGTAGCATCATGAAGTTATCCACTCATATAATAACATTTTAGTGTTCGTTTTCGGTGTCAAACATACCAACTATACCAACCTGAGAACTATAACTATAGTTTAAATCCAGTGATTACTGTCCATGTCATTTGAAACAGCCACCTTCTCCCTGACCTACTTGTTCTGATTCGTATATTTGCAGCTCGTCTTCTTGCCTCTTGCCATGATTGATAGGTCCCGTGAACTTTGTTTGACGTTACTCTCTTGGCACTTAACTTTGTGAGCGTGTCAGGTTATGTGCATAAATTAAACAATCACCTTATTCATGTCACGCCACAGTATGTATTCCTACGCCTGGAATGATTATAATCTTGTCATATTTGTCTACTGATGCATCTTATTTGATTTAATAAATTTGTTTTGATTAAACTTTTTTTGATATAACACATTTTTTCGTTGTCGAGTTTAATAATCAGGATTGACTGTGTATTTTGTTCGGTTCATTGAGGTACGGGGATTTATAAGTTTGCAAATCGGTTCATTTCTCAACCGAAAGCAAAATACATAGTCTGTCCTTCAAGGAACTAACCTATAACATATGCCACCATGTAGAGTCCAGAATTAGCCATTCCCTCGATGAACCTCAGTGCGTTGAAGATCACCATATTAGGAGAAAAGGCTATGCCGATACAGCTAGCAGAGTGGAGCAACACATTGAAAAAGTACGTTTTTTTCCGACCAATCCTGAAAGTAGGGAAATTACATGTATGTGCTTTAAAACAACCCACCATGCTAAAATCACTCCGAACATTGTGTTCAGGACTTTTCCGATTGTCTTACAACTTTTAAATCTTTTTTGGGTAATTATGAATGCAGGATACACTACGACGAGTTCTACAGGCCATACATGTTGAGGAACTTCGCTTGAAAACTGGGTTACATTATAAGAATAAATAGCTATTTCCAATGATTGAAATGCCTCCTCGGCAGATCCAGTGGACTAAGGTGCTGAATGTTTCCGGTGTAGACTTACATTGCTAAGCCGTGTTCTGGTTCGCTGGTTAGTTCGACTGTTAGCGAACATAGCGCCATGCACATCCAAAGCTAGGGGCCGCCTCCGTGGTCTAGTGGTAGAGCGTCCACCCGGAGAGCGGAAGGTCCGGGGTTTGATCCCCGGCCGCGTCATACCAAGAAACGTTTAAATGTGGTACTTGTTGTGACCCTGGCTGGCGCTCGGCATTAAATGGATAACACAAGGACTGGTCGGCTCGGAGTCAGTATACTGTGTCTGAGTGGGGTATTCATGTTAAACTGCGGCATGGTATCTCAATGGGCTAGCAGGATAAATCGGTAGCAGTCCGGACTAGTACAAGCAGACACACACACACACACACACACACACACACACACACACACACACACACGTGCATTCACGTCTTATCATAAATACAATAATCTTGGACGCGGCGTTAAACCCCATTTCAACTCACCTCACCTCACCCAAAATTAGACCAACATTAATCCCATGGCGCGATATAGCTAAAATATGGTTCAAAGAGATCAACTTACAAATCAGATGCCAAGCCGAAGACGAACGACCCGGTTAGCCCACCCGCAAAGGCCAAGGAGTTAGATGTGGCTCGCCATGCCTTGTTACCACACACGAAGTTGAACTGTAAGATACCAACTAATTGTTACAATCACATCCTGAAGCATAACAATGGTTAGAAGTTATTTCTCAAAATATAGACGAGGCATTAAAATATTCTGTGACTGCTGACACCAGCATGTCACAGCGTAAATATCGCCCTTTGGCTGTCGCGTTACCGTGGTCGTGGATTCAAACACCAGAGAGTGTGAAGACTCCCCAACACTGCTGATGTAAATGTACTTTGTTAAATGTAAATGTTTCGTTGTGTTCTGGCATTGAAATAAGCACATAATGTGTCCATAGTAGTTATGAAAACTCACTTCTGACTGGGCCGTGGACGTGAAGGTGGTTTTGTCATACACCCAGGATGTACATTCTCGTGTATTGTTCCCCGCTGTCAAGTTAGTGTACACGCTACACTCTGACAACGTCGATACGCCGTCCTCATCACGGTCCCAGGGGATGCTGCCGTTCACTACCACATCATGACCTTGACCTTGGCTATTGTAGGTATCATTGGCTAACCCTGGCGCTGCACATCTTGAAACCACAAATACAAGTTCAAGCTATAACCACAAGCTACAAACCTATATAACAATGTTGAGTTCAATCAAATGCATGAAATGCAAATCAAATGCAGGTTCATAACATGTCACATTTGAGTTTTTAAAATGTTCTTGACAACTTACCTGAAATTCGGAAGAGCCATAGAAAATACAGGCAAAAGAGACTGAAAGGCACACGTGATGGCTGGTACACACACCATCAGGTAGAGGCGTTTCTGGTAGGGGCCAAACTCCCCCAAATGTTCTAATATTGTGTCAAACTTCATGGCCAACTAACTCCCAACAACGTCTTCACCAAATCGAAAGACGAAGTGACCCCAACAGATGTGTGAGGAATATGTTACATTCGTCATTGTAACTCTATACGTTGTGGTGTGACCGTCCTTATGTACGCATGGCCTTGCCTTATCTACTCCACAGAGGCTCCTCACAATCAGTCTTATCACATACACAAACACAGCGCGCCCCTTATGCTGACATTTTGATATATGGGAATATGATAGGAACACATTTGGAATTTTTTGAAACCTCTTGAAGTCGTACACCACTTTCTCGACGTATCATTTAAGACTTACTGAGATGTCTCGGCATCTTCCTAGTTCTAGGGTGGAAACGTCACGATATGGCTGAAATATTGCCGATGTGACTTAAAATTTTAACTCACTCACTAGGGTGGAAACTGGACTTTCACAGTCAGTTAACTTCTTTGTCTCAGGGAGATGCTGTCCCGGCTCTGTGGCCAAACTGCCCGTGAAGATCCGGGGTAGAATAGGTCTTCAGCAACCCATGCTTGCTGTAAAAGGCGACTATGCTTGTCGTTAGAGGCGACTAACGGGATCAGGTGATCAGGCTCGCTGACTTGGTTGATGCATGTCATCGATCCCAATTGCGTGGATCGATGCTCATGATATCAATTACAGAATTTTCTGGTTCAGACTCGATTATTTACAGACCGCCGTCATATAGGTGGAATATTGCTGAGTGCGGCGTTAAACAAACAACAAACCAACCAATTTATGGCCCTTCGCTCTACCCGCGCTTCTGATACCCCACTATAGTTACGATGGCCCCAAGAGCTTTGAGTTAACGACGTGGATGATTGTTAATAATGTTGATCACTGGATTTTCAACATGCAAATATTTACTTCTTTCAGGGAAATTGTAAGAGTGGCGGAAGCTACCGGTAGAGCAGAACATGCTTACCCTTTTCGTGAACACCTGGTGTCATCGCTGATTGTCAGTGATCATTATTTAGCCTTACCAAAGTCCAGGGTTTGCTTCCACGCTGGATTGGGGGCACGGGTGGCCCAGTCGTCTAAGGCGCCGAGATTCGCTGTGCAGAGTTGCGTGCCTCTGGCACGCCAGAAACCTATGATTGTGGGTTCGAATCCCCGTTCGCCCAAATTATGTTTCTAGGTTTGTCAGCACCATACCCGTGCTCGTGGGTTTCACCGAAGTGGTAAACGTCTTAGACCTGCATCACTTGGGGCTTTCCTCCCACATTAAGCTGACACGTATATATATAGTGCGCACGCCGTGATATAACTGGAATAATGTTAAAAGCGGCGTTAAACCCAACTCACTCACTCACTTATGTTAGCAATGACATTACACACACAACTAAAACACATTCCAAATTCCGTATTATAATATATCACTGAATAAGAGCGTGAAGACTGACAGGTGATTTTTAAAACACCTGAGTCAAGACCCCAAGACGGTAAGGATATACAAGCTATACTCACTGACATGTTTAACGACTTATTGTTGACATGAAGTATTCAAACGGCACACATTCGCCGTATGCATGTTCTGAGGGTCCTTGTGTAAGTAGAGCAGTGTGTGTTCTGATTTGCATACATAAAACAGCTCAATAGTCGGAGCTAGACCACACCAATGTGTAAAAGTACAAACAAAACAGCTGCAGTGGGCTGTATAGTGGTCCCACCCCGGGGACCACCTCCGTGGTCGAGCGTCTGTCCGGAAAGCGGAAGGCTGCTTGTTCGATCCCTTGCCGCGTAATACCAAGATACGTTAAAAGTGGTACTTGTTGTTACCCTGCCTGGCGCTCGGCATAAAGGTGACAAAACAAGGACAGGTCGACTCGGAGTTAATTGATGTTAGTGGGGTATTCATGTTAAAACTGCCACATGGTCTCTCAGTGCGCTATTATCATAAAACCGGCAATACACACACGCACACGCACAAGCACACGCGCTTCGCTAACGCGATGTTAACCCCTGTTCACACCTCACCGTTCTATCTTGGAGCAAAATATAATAATAGCAGTCGAGATGGCAAGCAGAATATCCCTCGTCTGGTTAATGCTTACATAGTCTGTGGCCATATTGTTGAATTCAGGCGGTTGAGCCCGGCTTGATTAGTTGACAAACCATAGTTTTGCTGTCCTGTCAATGATGGATGCTCTTGTTTGTTTTAACGATGGACACTGAGATATATGTAATCATGTTTAATAATTATCACTTTGTGTTAAAACGTGTTGATGGAAAAGGTGGAGGAGCGCTCTCTTTTCTATCTCCTGAATGAATCCTCTTGAACATGAACGTTCTGTAATTAATGAATATATATTTATTACTCTGGTCTTGAGTTTTCATTTAATTCAGACGATATAATATTAACGCTAACATAGTAATACACAGGTTAGACAAAGGTTGTTTAATTGTTTTGTTTGTTTGTTTGTTCGTTGTATTCAACAACATAACATTTACACCACTTTATATGAAGCACAGTCACTATTTTCCGTCCGCCCGGAGAGCGGAGGGTCCGGGGTTCGATCCCCGGTCGCGTCATACCAAAAGACGTTAAAAGATGGTACTTGTTGTTACCCTGCCTGGTGCTCGGCATTAAGGGGCTAAAACAAGGACTGGTCGGCTCGGAGTCAGTATACTGTGTTTGAGTGGGGTATTCGTGTTAAACTACGGCATGGTATCTCAGTGTGCTAGCACTATAAATCAGCATCAGTCAAGCAGCCACACTAGTACAAGCAGCCACACACACACGTGCATACACGTCGCTATATAAGTGCAATAATTTTGGACGCGACGTTAAACCCCATTTCACCTGACCTCAGAATTTTCTGCTAGTTGTTTGTTTGTTTTGTTTTTGTTTTTTGTTTAACGCCGCACTCAGCAATGTTCCAGCTATATGACGGCGGTGTGAAAAATAATCGAGTCTGGACCAGACAATCCAGTGAATGACATCATGAACATCGATCCACGGGATACAATGACATGCATCAACCAAGTCAGCGAGCCTGACCACCCGATCCCGTTAGTCGCCTCTTACGACAAGCATAGGCGCCTTTTACGACAAGCATGAGTTGCTGAAGACCTATTCTACCCCGGATTTTCACGGGTCGCTAATTGTGTTAAGGTTGTTTTCAACAGTATTTTAGTGATAGCACCGTAGTTGGGGTATTTTTTAGTCATAACACTATAGTTGAGTTTAATATGATACACTACAGGCGATCATGTACAAGATGAAATCGACTGTAAGGTAGTGAAAGTTATGTACGTTAGTCACACGCCACATTTCGGTGACACCGCAAAACTCCGCCCCAGCTGTAGTTCAAGGGGTACGCGGTGTCTCGCGGTGTCAATATCATTGTGAGCCTTTTGTGTACATGCATGATCATCGCGTCGTGTTTATTTGGCAAACAGATTGATATTTCATTCGCAAGATCGCTCAAAAGTATTAAACAACGTAGGACAACTATCACTTGACAAAAAAGACAGAACGCATGGAGTTCTATAACTTTCAACTAGAATTGTTTGGGTTAACATAAACATCAACATAAGGATGTTATGTAAACACATACAGTGAGTCCCAGAATACGTAACCTTGAGTTTGGATATCTCTAATTTAATAGCCCGTACCTAGGAACACAAAGGAGTATCGTGGAACGACAGCCATACCACCAAGATCGCTTTTTGGGACGAGGCATGAGTCTAACCGTGGCTGTCGTGTCATATTCGTGGTTTCCACAACAGGGTTTCAGTATTTTAAAATTGCTTTGTTACTTTATATCCTCTGCACGTCCAAACTGAGATAAAACGTATTTGTTTACTATAATGCATTAGCCGTTTGTCACGTGACCCCTTTTGGAAACCATGTCATGTGGATATATGGAAAGCTCTTGGAAATGTGCATTCGAAAGTATCACTAAATGAATTAAGACTACCAAAATATAAAGCCATTATAGCCGTTTGACGCAATGGAAAAATCCATATACTGTCTATCAGTTGTCCCTTATACTCCAAGACCAGTGTTGACACCCCTAACAGTATGGTAACTGCGGGAACGGCAGACCCTGGGCGGTGATCTAAATACAGACAAAGAATGGCAGGGGAAATATGATTCAAAGAGTGAGTGAGTTTGGTTTTACGTCGCTTTCAGCAATATTCCAGCAATATCACGGCGGGGGACACCAGAAATGGGCTTCACACATTGTACCCATGTCGGGAATCGAACCCGGGTCTTCGGCTTGACGAGCGAACGCTGTAACCACCGCCCCTATGATTCAAAGAAGAAAAAAGGGGAGGGTGAGCCCATGCGCATATATTTTAGCTGGTCGAAGTGTGCGCAAAACGTTTCCCCAAGTTCCAAAAACATTTTTGAGATCCTTAGGGTATTACGTCTGTGACTGCATACTAGAAACTTGTAATTTGACTTATTTTTAGGAATTTATGACAAGCTAATGGACATCTAAATACATCTGTTAACTACACTGCTATCTCGCTTATTTATCAGGAAGCGACAAATTGACAAGGATTTTTAATAACCATGATACGAAACATAACATGTTTATAGATGAAAACATAGGTACTAATGAGGGACCGGTTTTAATGAGGATTGAAGCGGGTCACAAACATTCAGCAAACCTCCTTATCAAACGCTGTTCCCACTCTGCCCCGATGAAAGGTCAGTCTACAAGAGGGTCTGTATTGTGAAGTGCTGTAGAGCTGGGGTAAGTCAACAGAAAGCTTATACACGTGTATGTACAAACCTGTCGTGAGCCCTGGAAGCCATGACTGGACAAACACTTCCATTATATTCCCGCAGGGAGTGGTGGTGGTGTGTGTGTGTGTGTGTGTGTGTGTGTGTGTGTGTGTGTGTGTGTGTGTGTGTGTGTGTGTGTGTGTGTGTGTGTGTGTGTGTGTGTCTTGAAATTGAAGACACAAGTTGATTGAAAACAGCCTGGGGATGTTGTTCCCAATCTGAACCAAACGACTGGTCGCAGTGAGCTAGCGCTATCGGTTGATTCTGGCCCTGTCGTCGGGGTGCTTCCATCTCATCCCAGACATATTCTTTAGGGCTGATCTCATCGCCTCGCTTCGTACAGCTATCAAATGTGTTTCTTTACAATATAAGCAGCCGTGGTCACCCTGATCTATCATTGAATTGCGGAACATATGTTTCAGGACATGACACTAGATCATTGTTTAGGCGAAAGAGTATACTGTCCATACACCAACGTGAGCGTTACCGATTGAGGTGAAGCCAATACTGGTTAACTGTCTATAGGTCTGATAGTAACACGTACCGCTCGTATCACGCATACCACATGCGCTGTCAGTTTAACGTGGGACCGGTCGGATCAGCGCACCTAGCTGGTTAGTGAAAGGAAGATAAATTGAAAAAGATCGCCCATTGCACTTAACAATGATGAGTTGTGTTCTCCCATTAGTTGTGATTCCATCCCGTACCATAACACGTCCATCCCCAAACTGACGCAAGCGCCGCTAAAACGTTATCTTGGACCCCCGTAGACCTTTGCGCGACCATCAGAGCTGTTAAAAAAAATGGACTCATGCTGTCTTCACCAAGTTAGGCGTGCCTGGCGGTCACTTGGAAGCAAAATTAGCGCATCGCTGGACGTTGGGACCGAATGTTGTGCTCCGTCAACCGGCTGCGCACGGTTCTGCCACTAATTGCCTCACCCTGGACCTCACCCTGGACCTCACCCTGGACTTGTCCGAACTGTGATAGTTTGGTATCAGTTCCGAACATCAGAGAGACTATATAGACTCCCTGCGTAGAGACCGCCTCATTGGTCTAGTGGTAGAGCGTCTCCCCGGAGAGCGAAAGTCCGGGGTTCGATCCCCGACCGCGTGATTCCGAAAGACTTTAAAAGATTGTACTTGTTGTTACCCTGTTTGGCACTCGGCATTAAGGGTCTAAAACAAGGACTGGTCGGCTCGGAGTCAGTATTCTGTGTCTGAGTGGGGTATTCATGTTAACTGCGACATGGTATCTCAGTGTGCTAGTACTATAACATCGGCATTTTACCGGGCTAGTACAAGCAGGCACACTCACGTGCATGCACGTCGCTATATAAGTTCAACGTTAAACACAATTTCACCTCACCCTGCGTAGATGCACCAACCGAATATGGTTGTCTTGTTGACCTGACGCCACATGTGTACGACTGGCGCGTGGCATGACATGCGAGTTGACTTGCTGTAGATGATGTCTCCAAAGAGATACTATTCGATGGTTTCGATGTCCATTAAAATGTCAGGCAACTTCTTTTTGCGGCATTCCTGTTTGCAGCATACCCGCGGCGCGTATGCATTGATTTTCAGCAAGCCGTGGCATTGGGTAAGCATTATTTACAGTTAAACAAAAGTGTTCATTGCGTGCCGTTCACGTTGAAACAGTGAGTATCATGCTCCCAACAAACACGAAAACATTCAAATTGAGTACCGTGCATGTAAAGTGTGAATCATGACCTTAAATGAGAAGAGCTGTCTTCGTGAATATTAGGAATACAGCCCTTCTGACAATCTGGGTGCAGAAGGTTCTCTGGGCCGAATGTAGAGGGGCACAAGGGTCCTATGCTGATGATAAGCCTTACCAGCCTGAGTGACCCAGAATCACCCAAACACTCTTTGCTGCTTTTTTATTTTATTTTAATCTGTATATAATAAACTGTATATGAAAACCATGTACTTTTATAGCACGCGTATATACAAAACCATGAATATTAATCGTTGACAAATACCGCTATGGGGTAGAGGCCATGTCACTTGCCACTTGCTCGTGTACGTCACATCATATTTGGGTCCAGTGACAGTAGGGCGGTCCACGCTTACCCTGAAGGCAACATGAAGTTTGACGAAATTCTAACTCATCTTGGAGACTTTGGGTGGTATCAAAAGAGACTTTACTTTTTAATATGCATACCATCGTTCATGGGCGCTATGCAAGCACTTTCAGTATTGTTTCAGTTGGATATTCCCGACCACAGGTATGTATGTATTCTATACATGTGTAATGTATTTGACAATCCCAACGAGTTTAAGTACCTCAAATCCGCTAATGATTAGTGTGATGCCTCAGTTTCTCACCAGGTGTTAATGAAACAATGTAATGAATACATTCTACACAGACTGGAAGTGAATCACTCATGCATGGGATGCTGTGACAGTTGGGGACATGTTGTCAAGCCCCGACATGGATGGAGCTGCCGGTTATACCGTGGCGTCCTCGGGACAATAGAGTTATTCGTGGACACGTCTACCTTGTGTACCACATTCACATTACCGGTTGTAATTATTCTTTACTCGACCCGAAGCACTAGAATATCACACAGTCGTGTAACTGTGACTACCCTGTCGTGTTATGAGTATATACTGATGGAAATTGATACGGGAACAATGAAAAATATAGGGAAATAGTTTGACAAAAAAATGATTTGAAATAGCACGCATATAAATTCAACACATCCAATCTAATGTTGAGAAGTGTTTGTGTACATTGTTTCCAACGAGTATTGGGGGCACGCGATTCGCTGTGCAGAGTTGCGTCCCTTGGGCACGCCAGAAACCTATGATTGTAGGTTTGAATCCCGGTTCGCCCCGATTATGTTTCTAGGTTTGTCAGCACCATACCCGTGCTCGTGGGTTTCACCGAAGTGGTCAACGTCTGAGACCTGCATCACTTCGGGCTTTCCTCCCACATTAAGCTGACACGCCGCGATATAACTGGAATACTGTTAAAAGCGGCGTTAAACCCAACTCACTCACTCCAACGAGTATTTGTTAAACAAAACAAGGAGCCCACGATAGCATATCAGTCTACTGTATCTAAAACGTAGTGTTCTCTTGTTCGTTTCCATCAGTATATATTTCTATATTTATTTGAAGACACTAAATTCAACTTCTTTAAGTGGCACTGAGAAGTCAGTGTGATGAACATGGGGGATCGTTCTATGGATATACAACTTCTATCCTGCAATGAATTAGATAATTAATCAGACTGTGCGTCAGTCTGACCCAGTCGCCACAGAACCAGTCGTTGCAATTGTTCATTTATCCAAAAATGAAAGAAAGAAAACTGAATAGACAAACCGCCGTGATGCACTCTCCATCAGTTCCCAACTCCGGGATCCTTTGGACTTCTGGACATGGAGGAAGTCCGTCTTGAGAGACCAGGAGGAGTTCGCGTTCGCGTGACGGATCACCAGCTGAGCCACAATAACGCAATCATCAAATTGGGGCACGGGTGGCCTAGTCGTCTAAGGCGCCGCAATTCGCTGTCCTGAGGTGCGTTAGAAACCTATGGTTGTGGGTTCGAATCCCGGCTCGTCCCGATTATGTTTCTAGGTTTGTCGGCACCGTACCCGTGTTTCGTGAGTTTCACCGAAGTGGTAAACGTCTAGGACCTGCATCTCTTCGGGTCTTTCCTCCCACTTTAGGCTGACACACCGTGACATGACTGGAATAATGTTAAAAGCGGCGTTAAACACAACTCACTCCCAATCATCCAATTTAATACAATTTAATTGTAAAGGACCTTGGAATAATTTTAATGACTTACAACTCTTAATTCAAAATTTATAACCATCGGCAATATGTTTACAAAAAACTTAATTTGAAGACATTAACAAATTTGACATTAGAGATTACACTTCCTACGATGTCTTTTCTGCCCATGGTGCTAAAGCTACTGGAGGTTCTTCAATTGTCAATGAAACACAGCTCCATGCACAGCCCCGTTCATCTTACTACTCCTTTATAAGCTGTTGAAGTCCATGTAACTTTGCACATTATTTTTTCTTTGCGCTCACTGTTTATTCCACCATCTTCTCTTCGATGAATGCGCAGTTTTGGTGAAGATACTAACACCATTATCAACCAAGCAAGTGCGACGCTTTACTTGCTTGATATCGGCATAAGTATCCACACCGAAACGTGGCATCCACTGTAATAAAAAAGTTGTACATCCAGAGAACTATCTTCCTTGTATTAGATTCAAGTACATTGTCGATGTTCATGTTCAAGAGAGGATTTCTCTACTTTTCTAACCGTGGTAATAAGTTTTGTATGTTAACTGATTCAGTAGTTGACCAAACTACCAACTACCAACGAAACGTTGCAAGACGTTCTACCTGATTAAAACGGCTTTTTAACATCGTGCTCATAATGCGCCATGGTAAAGGAGACATAGCACTCAGAAGGCCGTCGTGTTGGTAAACCCCAACTCAAAGACGCCATCACATAGCTTCAACACATGACATACCAATGCCAAAACCGCATAGCTTCCACACATGACATACCAATGCCAAAACCACATAGCTTCCACACATGACATACCAATGCCAAAACTGCATAGCTTCAACATATGACATACCAATGCCAAAACTGCATAGCTTCAACACATGACATACCAAATCCAAAACCACATAGCTTCAACACATGACATACCAATGCCAAAACCGCATAGCTTCAACACATGACATACCAATGCCAAAACCGCATAGCTTCCACACATGACATACCAATGCCAAAACCGCATAGCTTCAACACATGACATACCAATGCCAAAACCGCATAGCTTCAACACATGACATACCAATGCCAAAACCGCGTAGCTTCAACACATGACATACCAATGCCAAAACCGCATAACTTCAACACATGACATACCAATGCCAAAACCGCATAACTTCAACACATGACATACAAATGCCAAAACCGCATAGCTTCCACACATGACATACCAATGCCAAAACCGCATAGCTTCAACATATGACATACCAATGCCAAAACAGCATAGCTTCAACACATGACATACCAATGCCAAAACTGCATAGCTTCAACACATGACATACCAATGCCAAAACCGCATAGCTTCCACACATGACATACAAATGCCAAAACTGCATAGCTTCAACACATGACATACCAATGCCAAAACCGCATAGCTTCAACACATGACATACCAATGCCAAAACCGCGTAGCTTCAACACATGACATACCAATGCCAAAACCGCATAACTTCAACACATGACATACCAATGCCAAAACCGCATAACTTCAACACATGACATACAAATGCCAAAACCGCATAGCTTCCACACATGACATACCAATGCCAAAACCGCATAGCTTCCACACATGACATACCAATGCCAAAACTGCATAGCTTCCACACATGACATACCAATGCCAAAACTGCATAGCTTCAACACATGACATACCAATGCCAAAACCGCATAGCTTCAACACATGACATACCAATGCCAAAACCGCATAGCTTCAACACATGACATACCAATGCCAAAACCGCGTAGCTTCAACACATGACATACCAATGCCAAAACCGCATAACTTCAACACATGACATACCAATGCCAAAACCGCATAACTTCAACACATGACATACAAATGCCAAAACCGCATAGCTTCCACACATGACATACCAATGCCAAAACCGCATAGCTTCAACATATGACATACCAATGCCAAAACAGCATAGCTTCAACACATGACATACCAATGCCAAAACCGCATAGCTTCAACACATGACATACCAATGCCAAAACCGCATAGCTTCCATACATGACATACCAATGCCAAAACTGCATAGCTTCCACACATGACATACCAATGCCAAAACTGCATAGCTTCAACACATGACATACCAATGCCAAAACCGCATAGCTTCCACACATGACATACCAATGCCAAAACTGCATAGCTTCAACACATGACATACCAATGCCAAAGCCGCATAGCTTCAACACATGACATACCAATGCCAAAACCGCGTAGCTTCAACACATGACATACCAATGCCAAAACCGCATAACTTCAACACATGACATACCAATGCCAAAACCGCATAACTTCAACACATGACATACAAATGCCAAAACCGCATAGCTTCCACACATGACATACCAATGCCAAAACCGCATAGCTTCCACACATGACATACCAATGCCAAAACTGCATAGCTTCAACACATGACATACCAATGCCAAAACCGCATAGCTTCCACACATGACATACCAATGCCAAAACTGCATAGCTTCAACATATGACATACCAATGCCAAAACTGCATAGCTTCAACACATGACATACCAATGACAAAACCGCATAACTTCAACACATGACATACCAATGCCAAAACCGCATAGCTTCAACACATGACATACCAATGCCAAAACCGCATAGCTTCCACACATGACATACCAATGCCAAAACTGCATAGCTTCAACACATGACATACCAATGCCAAAACCGCATAGCTTCAACACATGACATACCAATGCCAAAACCGCATAGCTTCCACACATGACATACCAATGCCAAAACTGCATAACTTCAACATATGACATACCAATGCCAAAACCGCATAGCTTCAACACATGACATACCAATGCCAAAACCGCATAGCTTCCACACATGACATACCAATGCCAAAACTGCATAGCTTCAACATATGACATACCAATGCCAAAACTGCATAGCTTCAACACATGACATACCAATGACAAAACCGCATAACTTCAACACATGACATACCAATGCCAAAACCGCATAGCTTCAACACATGACATACCAATTCCAAAACCACATATTTTGAAGAAAAGATTCTCAACTCTTTTTGCAGGTGTGTATTTGAACGTCACGTCAATACGTAAAACGTTTATGGCAGATAGTTATCAGTTTCGATCATCTTCAGTGAGTGAGTGAGTGGGTATGGTGGTTTTACACCGCTTTTAGCAATATTCCAGCAATATCACGGCGGGGGACACCAGAAATGGGCTTCATATATTGTACCCATGTCGGGAATCGAACCCGGGTCTTCGGCGTGACGAGCGAACGCTTTAACCACTAAGCTACCCGACCGCCCCTCGATCATCTTCAGATTCCATGGCAAAATAGTGGTGAAATATATTATGAATCCCTAAAACTCAGTGACGACACCAGGTGTTCGCGAAAAAGGTAATCATAT